CCGCCAGTTACTGGGTAATAGGCGGTACCATCGGCTTGGTCAGGACACGCATGCAGGCACAGGGTAAGACAAGGGGAGGTGGGGGGAGGGTAGTGTAGTGTGTGGGGGTGTGGTTGTGTGTGTGTGTGTGTGTGTGTGTGTGGTGTGTGTGTGTGTGTGTGGTGTGTGTGGTGTGTGTGTGTGTGTGTTGTGTGGTTGTTGTTGTGTGGTGTGGTGTGTGTGTGTGTGGACATTAAACTGACAGGGTAATTTACCTATATTTATCGACTGTCACTTTTTCCATGTGTATAAGCTCTTCACTTGGCTAGCTACCAGCGTCAATAAAGACCGAGTACCGAGAGCTCATGCTAACATCCACTCATCCCCTCACCCTCCACTCCTCCTCCATCTCATCCTCCTCCTATCCTCCTCTCCCTCTGTCCTCTTCCCTCTCCTCTTCCTCCTCTCCTCCTCTCCTCCCTCTCTCCTCCAGCCTCTGTGAAGGGCGGCCCTCAGCTCTCCATGCTAGGTCTGTTCCAGAACATTGTGACCCAGGAGGGCGTGGCCGGCCTCTACCGCGGCATTGCCCCCAACTTCCTGAAAGTCATCCCCGCCGTCAGCATCTCCTACGTGGTCTATGAACACATGAGGAAAGTCCTGGGGGTGGAGCGATACAGATGAGGGAGGACGGGGGGTGGAGAGAGGGGAGGGAGAGAGGTATCATGGATGCCTTGGAGAGAATGAGGTGAAAGTAGGAGAGAAAGAGAGAGAGGGAGGGAGGGAGAGATATTGTAGATGAGAGAGAGAGAGAGAGCGAGAGAAAGAGAGAGAGATATAATAATAATAATATACCATTTAGCAGACGCTTTTATCCAAAGCGACTTACAGTCATGCGTGCATACATTTTTACGTATGGGTGGTCCCGGGGATCGAACCCACTACCCTGGCGTTACAAGCGCCATGCTCTACCAATTGAGCTACAGAGAGAGAGAGAGATATTGTAGATGCATTGGAGTGGGGGAGAGAATGAGGTGAGAGAAGGAGAGATAGAGAGAGAGGGATGGAGACAAGACAGACAAATGTGGGTGGCAGCTATGGCGTTGTTGCATTACCATGCCTAAAAACACAGTGGGAAGAGAGGGAGGGAGGGAACAAAGGAGGGAGAGAGAGAAAGGGAGGAATGAATAGAATAACGGAGAGAGACATCTCAAGTCCTGCACCCAACTGATGTCTAACCGTGTGGATGCCAAGTACTGCACCCAACTGATGCCTAACCGTGTCGATGCTTTGTGGTTGCAAGTGGCAAAATGGTTTCTATGACAACATGCGTGACATTTTACATTGCTTGCGCTGCATGTGGAGGTGTTTCTCGTCTGAAAGCTAGCTGACTAGCTTCTCTACTACTGGGTTGGGCTTTTCTCTCTGCATTAACAACGGGTGAGGACTAACTAACCAACGGTGCTTCAAGACTTTGACCAAAAACGGAACCCTTTACCATTTCACTACTAACTAAAGAGAGATTGATCACAATGTGAGTTTTTCTCCCATTAATCTTTAGGTGGAGAATAGAGAAGTCTTTGGGATAGGATGACATCATCTCCATGTTGTGTGGTTGGTTGGTCCTGAAGTAGGAAGTGATACGCCACTGGAACCATGGAACCACCAGGACTTCTAGAACTTTTCATATTGGAACCAGGGTGACTTGAGAACTTTTCACAATGAAGAAGGACCAGTAGCAATCTGCCTCCCATGGCTCATCCTAGGAGAAAAGAAGAGAAGAGGTGTGGAAGACTTGCTCTCGATTATCTGAAAGGATTGGGATGTGCTTGTGGACAAAGGATTTTTAAAAAAGTGACATATCTTTTGAAGTTATAATCTCTCATGGACAGACTGCCTACAAGATTATTGAAGTTATAATGCTGTGGGGACATTTTAGACAGCCGGATGAGAAACAAACCCATTAAACCTTGTACTGTATTTAGGGTTGTCAAAATGTCAGTAACTTTCCCCAAATTCCCTGGTTTTCCAGAAATCCTGGTTGGAATTTTCCTGAAATCAGATTGGAATAAGCACAAAATCGGGAAGGTTGGGGAAAATTACTGGATTTTGCAACCCTTTATTGAAACTTGAGTTTTTTCTGAATCCCAGTTACTGTTAAGCTTATTTTCCAGCATGGTACGTTTCAACAAAGAGTTTTATCAAGAGTTTTATCAAAGTATGTAAATAGTTAGAGATGCATGGTTTAATCGAGTGCTAAAGCCAATAGAACACAGCCACACGCTGATGTCATCACGATTATGATATGACTCGAAGGTGGTCCCCCTGTTATGTGTGTGTCAGTGTGTGTGTGTGTGTGTGTGTGTGTGTACAGCGAGTGTGTGTGATTTTTGCAGTATTATAAAACTCCAGAATGCCAAATCAACCAAACAAGATTGTGTTATCTTTTCCCCTTCTGTATAACTTCCATATCACTACTGTGGATTTATTTATTGGGTGTATGTGTATGAGGTTTTAACATAACAATGACTTCAATATGTTCATGATTATTACTTGTGAGGTGATTATGAGTTGATGCCTACGGCTGCGTCCCAAATAGCTCCCTATTCAGTGCACTGAAAAGTAGTGCACTATATAGGGAATAGGGTGCTATTTGTGCAGCCTACTAGATGTGGTGTTTTTTTGGGGGGGGGTTTCTGTTCTGAGTATTGTGAATGGGGGAAATATGCCATGCATATGAGTGCCTTGAATTAAAGTAATGCTATGGTGAGCTTTCATCAGAAGAAAAGTACTGGTAGTTTGAAGTTGCTGTTGGTGTGGTGTCATTATGTATGAAAATATGGATTGTGATATTATTGTTATGTCCCAAATAGTCCAATGTTACCTATATAGTGCACTACTTTTGACCAGAGCCCATTACTCTGGTCAAAATGTGTGCACTATATGGGGAATAGGGTGCCATTTGGGACGTACATTTGGACAGTGGTATGTTTATCAGCTAACAGAAATAGCTAGGTCACAAATATTTAAATGACATGGCTAAACGTTGTTAGCCTGGGTGCTAGTCTGTTTCTGCTCTCTTGCCAACTCCTTATGGAATTGTCATGCTGTTTGGCTTGACAATGACAATGGACTAGGCAAAAGCACAACAGATCTGGGACCAGGCACATTTTTTTTTTCTTCAAAGATACCAAAAACTAACTCAAGGTTTCCCCTTTGTTGCTTTCATCTGTGTTTTGACTTTTGAGATCATGTAAGGTTGATGGTGAGGGTTTTACGAGCTGAAAGAGCTCGTTGTTGCCCGCAAATGGGTATTGGTCGTTACAAACGTCAATCAATAATGAAAGGTTGTGCCTGTAGGCACATTGGTCAACGTGACCATTCTTCAAACTCTGATTGGCTCTTCAAAGAGCGCATACATGTGATTGGCCGAAGTTGAACTGTCAATCAAGAATCCCCCTGCCCTGGTAAAGTGGACCTACCTACGAATCAGTAAACCAGTAAGATTTTTGTCTGTATTCGTCACAGTCTCTTTCGCAATCACGGATTGGTTACTTTAGGAGGGAAGCCTGCTAGAAGGTTTGATTACCACCTCCTGCGCCCTCCCCGCACTTCGCCTTTCTCGTCTTCCCGCTTCTGCGCAACTCTGCCCGGCCTAACTACCTGTCCAAACCCCGTGTGTGTCTGTGTATTTCCCGAAGAGAGCAAGTAGCATGTCGGACTACGGCTCACCCGGGGCCGGAGCGGGCGCTGGAGGCAAAAAAGATGCTTTCGCTGACGCCGTGCAGCGAGCAAGACAGGTAAGGTCGGAGCAAGGATCTAGCGAGACTGGGCACTGAACCAAGCCAGTCTGTTGTTTGCGCTAGCTACGATGTTAGGCTAATTAGTTAGCTTACAACGAGGCCGTCGATGGGTTACTCGAATCGATGGGACCCACCGGCGTGGTGTGTCTGGCGGCGGCAGTGTGGGTGAAATCAAAATGCGAAAAACCTAGAATTTAACCTCATGTTGGTGTACACACGTGTGGATTTGTTTGGAATATTAGCTAATGTTAAATGTTTGAGTTCGCTATGTTCAGTACTACCACTGGGTTTTCGCTAGTTAGCTAACTAGGCTAGCTAATAGTGTTATCGGCGTGCGTGGCGATGCTTGCCTTGTTCTAGCTAGCTACGCTAGCAGCTAACCATGGCTAGGTAACAGGCGGAAAACACCGATTGCTAGCGTAACACAACTAGTTAGGAAACACTAACGTTACCGTTAGGTGCCTGGATAGCAATCTAGCTAACTAATGTTCGTGATCATGAAAAGCCCTCCATTTCTATTTATCCTAGTAGACCTAACGTTTAGTGATTAGCTAACTAGTTAGTCATCAATCATTTAACGTAGCTAGCCTTTGAAGTTTGCTAATTAACTATCTAGCGTCTGCAGATTATTATAAACTAAAGGTAGTAGCTAGCTAGTTAAAAAACGTTAGCTAATGAGCTAGACGTTTCCAAATGGAACCTGCTACGCAAACTTTTCCTAAACAGTCACATTTTGTTGGCCAGTGTTTCAGAATAGCTAATTTACATAGTTAGTGGGACACAAACACGATCTAGCTAGTATTAACGTTAGCTACTGCCGACATGTCTGTGATACGAATCAGGTCAACTAGGCCAGTATCTACAGATGAGATCCTCTAATCCCAGTCTAGCGGCTACCTGAACTAACCCGATCTAACCCCGGCTATGGAAAATAACAACATAGTCTAGGGCTGCTCCAGATTCAAACCTCAACCGTGGGGAAGATGATACAAAACTGACCATTTATCAGTGTCTTGGGCCAACTAAATTCTCCATAGGAGCTCACACAATGCTTTTGAATGGGATAATTGTTTTACCCAAGTCTTGGCCCTTTACCTCACGCTGTGTGTGTTCCCCAGATTGCAGCGAAGATTGGAGGAGAAGCTGGACCGCCAAGTAACAATGGAGGAGGAGGAGGAGGAGAGGGCTTCCCATTCCAAACACTGAAACGCTCTCTGGAGGATGGAGGTAGGAGACCAGGAGAGGGGAACACAGAGGCACGGGGACGAACACACACGGAGTAACAAACACAGAGGCACGGGGACGAACACACACGGAGTAACAAACACAGAGGCACGGGGACGAACACACACGGAGTAACAAACACAGAGGCACGGGGACGAACACACACGGAGTAACAACACAGAGGCACGGACGAACACACACGGAGTAACAAACACAGAGGCACGGGGACGAACACACACGGAGTAACAAACACAGAGGCACGGGGACGAACACACACGGAGTAACAAACACAGAGGCACGGGGACGAACACACACGGAGTAACAAACACAGAGGCACGGGGACGAACACACACGGAGTAACAAACACAGAGGCACGGGGACGAACACACACGGAGTAACAAACAAGAGGCACGGGTAACGACACACACCGGAGTAACAAACACAGGGCCGGGGACGAACCCACGCAAAGCACGGAACAAGAGTAACAAACAAAGAGGCACGGGACGAACACACACGGGTGATACAAACACAGAGGCAAACTGGGGACGAGTAACAAACACGAGTCAAACACGAGGCACGGGGAACAACGACACACAGAGACGGGGACAAACACACGGTAACAAACCATAGAGAAACCGAGATGCACAGTGGGGAGCACACATACACTATGTACACACAGAGGAACATGTTCCTGGAGCCTTACTTCAGGATGGTGTTGAGTTCATGTTTTTCCTCTTGTTTTTATCAGACCAACCAGATGCCAAGAAGATGTCTTCCCAGGGGGACAGAGACTCAGCCACTGCTTTGTGTACGTATACCTAACAGACACTGACCATTATTGTATCTCTTGTGTCTGCCTCACCTCTCACATTCATCAGTTGCTTTCTATTGGTTGGTAATCCATTACTTTTCCCTGTAGCTATCGGAGCTCAACTGGCCGCCCTGTCTCAGCAAAGGTATGAACAGAAGGCAATTTTTTAAATATTTTGGGGCAATCTTGTATATTTTACTGTGTTCAATTCCCAGGTGTTTTTGGGATTGTTATGAAGAATAAGAATTCACTCCTCTATCTCCTTCCATCCATTCTTTCTCCCTATTTTCTCTGCAGTGTCAGACCCTCCACTATGACGGAAGAGTACAGAGTGCCAGATGGCATGGTCGGACTCAGTGAGTACACACAGTATCTCTTGAACACACACAGAGAGAAGCTGTTGCGCACACACACACACTGATAAAATGACCTCGCGGCTTGTTTCTCCACAGTCATTGGTCGAGGGGGCGAGCAGATCAACAAGATCCAGCAGGACTCTGGCTGCAAGGTCCAGATCGCTCCAGGTGAGCAACTAGGTGCTCAACCTCTCTTTATATACTACCTCTACTATCACAGCATTTAGCCCAGAATGTATCCTATTCCCTATGTAGTGCACTACCTTTGACCAGAGCTATGGCCATTATTAGTATTATTACTGATAAAATACAATTGTACTGCGTTTGGTTTAGCGCTTGCAACAAAGGCATTTCTCTGTACTTGTGCACGTGACATTCAAACTTGAAACGATACTGCGCTGGTTTTGAACAGGGCCTTGGATCAAATATAGTGCACTACTTTGGACCAGAGCAATTACCTTTTTAGTGCACTACTCTTGACCAGCGTCAATAGGGCTCTGTTAGTGCACTTTGTAAGTAATAGGGTACCATTTCAGATGCATACGTAGTCTGCCAGTGAGACAGGTGGTTGTGTTGACGTTGATGTTTACTTGTTCTTGTTTGTTTTTCAGACAGTGGTGGAATGCCAGAGAGGAGTGTCTCCCTCACAGGAAACCCTGATGCCATCGCGTAAGACATTACACTAAGCCTTCGTCCCCGTAGGGCTCTGGTCAAAAGTAGTGCCCTACATAGGGAATAGGGTGCCATTTGGAAGTATCCCTTGTACCTGTTTGGTACGATTAGGGTCAGTAGTTTTCCTGGTTGTTTGATCTCAATTGGAAAAACTCTGGAAACTAGCATAGGGCTATGTTAAGAAGTATATCTGATGTTAAGAAGTATATCTGATCATTACACAACTCCTTTTGACTTCTCTCCCCCCCCCTTCTCTTATTTTCCTGTCATTTCCTACATTTTCCTCCCTCTCTCCCTCTTCAGGAAAGCCAAGATGTTTCTGGATGAGATTGTATCTCGGGGGCGGGGCGCGCCTCCTTCCTCCTTCCACGAGTCGACCAATGGGCAGAGTGGCTCCATGCAGGAGATGATGATCCCTGCTGGCAAGGCCGGCCTAATCATCGGCAAGGGAGGAGAGACCATCAAACAACTACAGGTTAGACCATAAGGGAGGAGAGGCCATCAAACAACTACAGGTTAGACCACAAGGGAGGAGAGGCCATCAAACAACTACAGGTTAGACCACAAGGGAGGAGAGACCATCAAACAACTACAGGTTAGACCATAAGGGAGGAGAGACCATCAAACAACTACAGGTACACATGGGGGAGTTGTATAGCTGAAGAATCCTGTCCAGGGGGTGTACTGGTACATCAATCTGCCTCACCCTACAGAAACAGGAGAAATGGGGGCTCCTGCCGTTATGGTTTCGGACAAGGCTTACTTGTATAGCTAAAGAGGAGGGAGACGGACAGGAAGCGGGGGAGACAGACACAGGAAGAGGGGGAGACATCAGTTGCAACTAGTAATGAGGGAAACTATCATATCTATACAGGAGAGAGATTCATAACACAGCTACTAATATCATGGGAGGGAAGTACTAGGAATCCAACACTATACATAGGGAGGCTTGTCTGTCTGTTAAACTACAGATGTATAATATCTCTTCCCCTGTAGGAGCGTGCTGGGGTAAAGATGATCCTCATCCAAGATGGCTCACAGCCACCCAACATGGACAAACCCCTACGTATCATCGGTGACCCCTACAAAGTGCAGGTACACACCCCTACTTCACATGATGCATACACCACACACCCCTACTAGGCACGATACCGCTCACCCCTACTGGGCACGATACCGCTCACCCCTACTGGGCACGATACCGCTCACCCCTACTGGGCACGATACCGCTCACCCCTACTGGGCACGATACCGCTCACCCCTACTGGGCACGATACCGCTCACCCCTACTGGGCACGATACCGCTCACCCCTACTGGGCACGATACCGCATACACCACAACACACCAGCCCCCTGTCCCTCTCACCAGGATGGGGCTGTTTTTGTCTCCAATATTATGCCAGGTAATACTGTCTGACTTGATCAATATGGCTCTTGCTTTCCCTGTCTGGCTTTCTGTCTCTCTCTTCTTTCTGTCTCTCTCTCTCTCTGCAGCAAGCGAAGGAGCTGGTGAATGAGATTCTGAGAGAGAGGGATCACGCTGGCTTTGGAGACCGAAACAATTTTGGCAACCAAATGGGAGGAGGAGGAGGAGGTGGTGGTGGAGGCATGGATGTGAGTAGCTCGTTTTGGGTTTGAGACGGATTCAACTTGATTCGAGTTAGAAATCTGAATGGATTGTACAGAGCTATGGAGGTCAAACTCACCCAGGTGCTTCACTCCAGAGAGTTGTTCACGCCACTTGTTCCCTTCCCTTACACAATGGCACAGGGAAGGGAGCAACTTCCTGGATTGAAAAGCATCCCTGAGCGGTTGAACCCGTTTGAATTAGATTGAGAATAACGGTTAATAGAACCTCTGACAGCGGCATCATTGACTTGATTTGGATTCTATGGTTAAACGTTGTAGAATTCCAGCCGGTAGAATGCCTTTGTAGCGTTGCAGCCCCATTAGTAACACGCCTCAACTACAACTCTGTAAAGGTCTTTGCCACATCAGTATCGCGTTTCAGTTTGGCCAGATGCCGTTTCCTAATGATGGTCTTTTCATTGGCCAGGTGCCCGTGCCCCGCCACTCTGTGGGTGTTGTGATTGGTCGAAGTGGAGAGATGATCAAGAAGATCCAGGCCGACGCTGGAGTCAGGATACAGTTCAAACCAGGTGAGGATCACACACACTTGTTGCTACAGAAAACTACAATCTGTTCTTGTTCAAGTTCAGTTAGCACCTGTGTCTCCCCCTTTGACCCTGCTTCAGTTGTTCTAGTCAGTATGGTAACTCTCTCCCTCTTTTTGTCCCCCTCTCTCTCTCTCCTTCCCTCCACCGTCTCTGTCAGATGAAGGTACAGGAGTATAAGATTAAACATTCTGACTCAAACCCACACGCATCTACAGCAGATTAAAATAGTTTTTATCATAGGAAAAGTTTTTTCTTTTATCATGTACTGTTTTTACACATCATAGGTCCAGGAAAAAGTAACTGAACTCAAAGAGCTCCTGGCATTTGATAGCACCACAACATTTTAAATGAATCACTTGACTGTGGAGCGAACCTGGGGCATGTTCAGTAGGGCACACCGTAACAGAACTGTTTGCAATGGAAAACTTCAATCAGTTGTTATTGGACAAGGCCAGGTAGCGCCTTCCCGTTTTGACCCTGCTTCAGTTGAGTGTTATGATCAGTATGGTAACTCTCCTTTTTTTTGTCGTCCCCCCCCACCCCCTCTCTCTCTCCCTGTCAGATGAAGGTACAGGACTGTATATGAAACTCAAACACTTCACACACACCTATACACAGCAGATTTAAATGTTTTAATCAGGTCAAAAAGGAAATGTTAGTACACCTTATCTTAGAGGTGCCAATCTGTTATTGGACAAGTTCAGATAGCACCTTCCTGTCTGGACCCTGCTTCAGCTGAGTGTTATGATCAGTATGGTAACGCTCTCCCTCTTTTTGTCCCCCGCTCTCCCTCCCCTGCTCCCCCTCCCCGCTCTCTCCGTCTCGGCTCCCTGCTCTCCCTCCTCTCTCTCTCTCACTCCCCCTCCCTCCCCACTCTGTCAGATGAAGGTACAGGACCGTATAAGAGACTCAGACATTGTCTCCAACCCTCTTTTGGTTGAAACGATGATCATTATGACAACTCTCTTTCTCTCATCTCTGTCGCTCGATCTGTGCTTCCCTCTCTTTCTCTCGCTGTCTTTCGATCTCTCCCCCTCTCGCTGCCTCCCTTCCCCGCTCTGCCTCCCTCTTGCTCCCCTGTTCTCCTTCCTCTTCCCCTCCTCCCCTCTTCTCTCTCTAGATGACGGTGCAGGTCCTGATAAGATAGCCCACATCATGGGCCCTCCAGACCGCTGTGAGCATGCTGCCTCCATCATCAACGAGCTGCTGCAGAGCATCAGAGTCAGGGAGGAAGGAGGACAGGGGGTACGTACACTACAGGCTTACCCATGGCAGGTTGCAGGGGTTAAGGGGGTACATACGTGTGGGGTGTGAAGGTAACTGGTACTAGATGGCAGGGGTATACACCAAGTTAAATACAAGATGGTGCAGGGATATGGACAGGTGAATTTGGCTGTGTTTTCTGGGCTTGAGAAGGAGAGACGTCTTGAAGGCCTTAGCGCTCAAACGGCTACTTTAAAAGTCTCCACTATTCCCCTTTAGTTTTTCCTTCAATTTCCTTGACATTTTGTATTTATTAAAACGTTTATTTGACAGGGACATCAACATTTTCTGTATACGTGCCAGATTTAGCCAGCTGGCTAGTTTTCAACTGTAGTCCCTGGGCAGATGGATAAAAATTCACACAGATTTTGAAACCAACTTAAGGCGTCCGCATTGCTTCCCATCCGAAACCGTTCGGAACAGTTTGTGCATCGACATTTTGTGACTGGTTTTGGTCTTCGGCAAGTTTTTGGGAGGCTGTTGGTGCAGACACATTTCTTGAGGCAAGCTGAAGTTCGGCAGCCGACGTCTATGTCCCGTCATTGGTAGGGATCCTACAATGACTTGTTTTCATGCACATTTTTTCACTTGCAAAATACTGCACCAAACATCTTAGATGTAAAATTGCTCGACTTAAGTTCTCCTCGGCAAACATGTCAAAATTAATGACAGATTTATTGAGTTAGATTAATTCTGACTATTTTGAGGAAGTGTATACTGGCTATGGCGTCTCAAGATGGACAAACGGTACTATTGCCACTTTTTCTCATTTTTTCAAGCGGAGGTCTTTTAAGGGAGTATGAGAGGACACTCGTTGGGTTCCGAAGCGAAGCATGCTGAAGCCTTTACCTGTGTGTCTCCCTCTCTCCTCTCCAGGGTCCTCCAGGTCCTCCTGGTACGGGGGGGATGCCTCAGGGTGGGCATGGCAGGGGGAGGGGCCAGGGGAACTGGGGCGGTCCTCCAGGAGGTGAGGTCACCTTCTCTATCCCCGCCCACAAATGCGGCCTGGTGATTGGTCGGGGCGGCGAGAACGTCAAGGCCATCAACCAACAGACGGGGGCCTTTGTAGAGATCTCGCGCCAGCCTCCGCCCAACGGGGACCCCAACTTCAAACTGTTCATCATCAGGGGGTCCCCTCAACAGATAGACCATGCCAAGCAGCTCATAGAGGACAAGATCGAGGTACGGGTGGGCGGACACGTACATGTGAAAACACACCCAGTGTATCAGTAATAGTCAGACATAAACTGTAAATGGAATTCATCATTTGTTATTTTTCTCCCTGCCCCTCTAGGCTCCTCTGTGTCCTCTAGGGGGTGGGCCTGGTGGACCTGGTCCTGCTGGTCCTATGGGCCCCTACAACCCCAACCCTTACAACCCAGGGCCTGGTGGTCCCGGAGGACCCCCACAGTAAGTACAACACCTACTGGACATAAAGGGCCAGTTTCCCTGTCCCAGGCTGGTGCTAGATTGCATTGTGGGCCTCTGTAGCTCAGCTGGTAGAGCACGGTGCTTGTAACGCCAGGGTAGTGGGTTCGATCCCTGGGACCACCCATACGTAAAAATGTATGCACACATGACTGTAAGTCGCTTTGGATAAAAGCGTCTGCTAAATGGCATGAATGAGGGCTCCATTCTTAGTGCGGTGAGCATCTCTGATGCACCTGTGCTGTTGAAAGTGCATTTATGGCTCAACGATTTTCGATTTATAACAGTTTGTCTGTCATGTGAAGCATTTCGCTACATCTGCTAAACACGTGTATGTGACAAATACATTTGATTTGATGTGTACATTTGTATGTTACTCAAATTTCCTCCTACATCCTCAGAATAAAATAGGGCCACATGTAACTTAAAGCCAATGGGTATAATGCATTTTGGTGTGTTTATGATTCATTGTAGGACTTAGAAAGGTAAGTGTCTAATCGTTCTCCACTCTCTCCAGTGGCGGCCCCCCAGGTGGTCATGGTTACGGAGCCCCTCAGGGCTGGGGCAACACCTTCCAGCAGTGGCAGGCCCCTGGAGGGCCACACGACCCCAGTGAGTAGACACTGCTTTATATGCGCTGGTCTGGAACTCTCCACCAGTCACTCCCCCCCCCCCCCCCTCCTCTCTGGTCACTCAATTTCTCCCTGGCCTGTCGTCAACCCTCTCTCCTCCCTCTCAACCCTTTTTCATTATCCTCTCTCCTCGCTCAACCCTTTTTCATTATCCTCTCTCCTCCCTCAACCCTTTTTCATTATCCTCTCAACCCTTTTTCATTATCCTCCCTCTAATGTTTTTCATTATCCTCTCTCCTCCCTCTCAACCCTTTTTCGTTATCTGCTTTCTCTAATCTCTTTCTTTCTTTCCCTCTCCTAACCCCTCTCCCTCCCCTAACCCCTCTCCCTCCCTAACCCCTCTCTCCCTAACCTCTCCCTCAACCCCTCTCCCTCTCCTAACCTCCCTCTCCTACCCTCTCCCTCCCCTAACCCCTCTCCCTCTCCTAACCCCTCTCCCTCTCCTACCTCTCCCTCTCCTAACCCCTCTCCCTCTCCTAACCCCTCTCCCTCTCCTAACCCCTCTCCCTTCCCTAACCCCTCTCCTCCCTCCTCCTCAACCCCTCTCCCTCCACCCTCTCCCCCCAACCCTCCTCCACTCCCTCTCCTCCCCTCCAGATAACCTCCTCGCAACCCCAATCCCTCGTGGGCAGCCTACTATGCGCAGTACTACCAGCAGCAGCCAGGGGGAGCCATGCCTGGCCAGGCCCCCAACGCCCCAGCAGCCGCCCCAGTCCAGGCAGACCCCTCTCAGGCAACCCAAACCCCTGGAGGACAGCCAGACTACACCAAGGCCTGGGAGGAGTATTACAAGAAGATGGGCATGGGTAAGCTCCATCGCCATGGTTATGATCATCGCCTTGGTTATAGTGACTTTACAATAACACGTCCTATAGTACAATGCAATAATCAATAACAATATATTACTACAAAGAAAAAAACACGAAATAAGAATAGGAAATAATAGCAGATACATTTAATACAAATAAACGACTAAATGATCACAAAATAGCAAAGTTGGGTCGGAGCTTGCAAATTGGTGGCTATCCATTGCGGGGACATCTTGATCCATAAGACATCCTATAGTATTTTCTAGTCTCCAGACACTTCAGGAGATCTTGTGTGAGTTATTAGAAAAGGACTAAAAGGCCTTCCCACTGTATATGATCCTTATACATGCCACCTTTTAATGGCAACGTTTCATCCAGAAGATCTCCGTCGGATGTATTTCTATACAGCAGATTTGTGTTCAACAAATACTAAGTCCTTGATCTTAAAATGTGGTCCACTAACCTTCCCCCTCTTTACCTGTCCCCTCCGTCTCTCTCCTCAGCCCAGCCAGGTGGAGGGGCTGCAGCGGCGCCGGCTGCAGCTGTAGCTGTGGGAGGAGCCGGTGGTCAGCAGGACTACAGTGCAGCCTGGGCTGAGTACTACAGGCAGCAGGCAGCCTTCTACGGCCCTGGAGGGGCTCCGGGACAGGCTGCCACCCCTCAGCAAGGACAACAGGTAACACACACACCCCTCAGCCAGGACAACAGGTTAACCACCACACACAACAACCCCTCAGCCAGGACAACAGGTAACAACCACACACACCCCTCAGCCAGGACAACAGGTAACACACACACACACACCCCTCAGCCAGGACAACAGGTAACACACACACACCCCTCAGCCAGGACAACAGGTACACACACACCCCCTCAGCCAGGACAACAGGTAACACACACACCCCTCAGCCAGGACAACAGGTAACACACACACCCCTCAGCCAGGACAACAGGTAACACACACACCCTCAGCCAGGACAACAGGTAACACACACACCCCTCAGCCAGGACAACAGGTAACACACACACCCCTCAGCCAGGACAAGTAACACACACCCCTCAGCCAGGACAACAGGTAACACACACACCCCCTCAGCCAGGACAACAGGTAACACACACACACACCCCTCAGCCAGGACAACAGGTAACACACACACACCCCTCAGCCAGGACAACAGGTAACACACACACCACACCCCTCAGCCAGGACAACAGGTAACACACACACACCCCTCAGCCAGGACAACAGGTAACACACACACCCCTCAGCCAGGACAACAGGTAATACATATTTCATAGAAATCTGAAAACTGGACAGTTCCTTTAACTGCTCTTCCCCCTCTTTCTACTCCCTCTTCCCCCTCTCTCTACTCCCTCATTTTCTCCATCCCAGGCCCAGTGAACCAGATCCAGCCAGTCTCCAGCTAGTCAGATGCATGGACCGGGAGGACTGTCTCTTCACTGCAGCAGCAGACCCATCCCATCCAGCTCTCTGGACTTTTTAAATGTTTTCTTCTGGGTTTGAGTCGTAATTCAATTATTTTTTTCTGGTTTTGACAGAAGCAAAACCTTACCTCCCTCCCTCAAATACACTCCCAGTACCCCTCCCTCTTATCCCAGTACCCCTTCTCCCCTAAAAAATACCCCTAGTCTTTTTTTTTTTTTTTTTTCTTTTTTTTTTTTACACAAGAAACTGAAAAATAACAAATTCTACGATTTTTGCTGATTAAATGATTGAACAACTTGTTAGGGTTGTTTTTCCTTTTTGCCCCCTTGTCCTCACCCTGCACCCCCAACCCCTCCAGTGTCTGAGGAGGTGAACAGAGGTAATAGAAAAGAGCTCTGGCTCATTGGCCTAGCTAATACCCATCTGTAAAATACATGGACTCGCACTTCTCATTTTTTGTTTGTTTTCCTGAGGAAAAAACGGTCGTCTAGCAGTACTTTGGAGTATAACTACTACTAATATTCAGCATCAGTTTGTAAAAACACGTTTTGTTTTTTTGGCAAGCAAAAGGATATTTTTTTGCTTTTAGGCTTTTTCATTTTTAATGAATCTCTAGTTCAGTTGAAACATTCCCTGTGTTGACGTAGCAGCATTTCTTCCCCCCCACCCACTTATGATTTTACTTAGTTCATATTTTTCTCCCACAGTACCTAAAGGGTGGGCCTGGGTTTCTGTGTGTGCATGCGAGACTGTCTGTGTGTACAAGCACCTGTTTCTATGGATGCTTGCTACAGTGTGTGCCTGTGTTTGTTATTTTGGCACAGTTTGTGTGTCCCCAAGGCCCCCCTTCCCCTTGCTGACTTCAGATCAGATTGCTGCATCATCAGATGGGATGCCTTTTATTTTATTTCCCCTCCATGTTCCAAGAAGTCATGTTATATATGTTGTATGCTGTATTTTTTTTTTTTTTTTTTACTGCTTGTTTTTAAAAACTTCACAATAAAAAAAAATATTGAGATTTGAGTGTTTCTTATTTGGTGTTTTGTATGTTTTTGTTGTACGTTGGCTTAACTCGGACTTGAATTTGTTTTTAAAAAATCAATCTAAAGTATTCGTTTCAGCAATATTGATATACTTTGTCCTCTAGAAACTTAATTTGGGACCTAAACAGTCATATTGTTAACCCTCTAACCAATCAAATGCTGGGAGAGTTGGTTTTCGGATTTGATTTATGTTCATATCGGCCAATCGAACTGCTCCCGCGGTGATCGAGAACCAATGGGAAGGCCATGGGTCGAGATGGTAGGCAGGGCGTAGTGAACACAACGGCGGAAAATGGCGCCCAGCTCGAAATCAGAAAAGGACGGTAACAAACAAACGCAGAGAAAACATAAAGAACATGTCGTCAAGCTCCTGAACCGTGGAAAGGTATGCAACAAACTAGACAAGTGAATGGCACAATGCACAGCTCTGACGAAGAATGTGAAGTTGCAGGGTTAATGCCCCAGCGGATGCTAGCTAGCTAACGTTAACGTTTCTAAGCACGAACTTGCTACAGTACGTTAGCTAGCAGGCTGACTCATTGTTAGCAAGCATTATTTGGCCGAAACCTAGCTATAATCATTAACTAAATTAACAGGCTGGTTTATATATTGTGTGAGGGAATGTTGCTAGCTAGTTGACCGTCTATCCATAGCCAGCTAGCTAACGTGTGTTAGTTGAAGCGAACAGTAAGACAGCAAGCGAACGTTAACTATTTATTTCGCATTCACTAACGCAACAAGCAAATTTACTGTGCAGTCGCCGCTGGCCGTTTCAGATGGCTATGCACGGCATGATGCCTATGTGTTGCGATGTTTTTCAATTCTGGTCCTGGAGAGTGCTGGCCTTTGTTTCAGCTAACGTTAATTAGTTAGTTAAATCAGGTGTTAATGTTGATTTAGAACAAAACCCTCCAGCGTACACACCAGAGACCAGGATGAAAGAACACTGCTGGGTGGGTAGGTAGTAGAGTGGTCAAGACTGGTTTCCTGGACTCAGACCAAGCCTAGTCCGAGTGCTGTATGTATCAAGTATCTCAGAGTAGGTGCTGATCTGAGGTCCCTCCTGTCCAAGTAATCTGAAAGGCTAAACTGATCCTAAATCTGCTCATCTACTCTGAGACTGTTGTACATACGGCCCCTGGACTAACAAGCTATTTCAATGGAGGGTCTTTTTTGGGTACATTGACCACTGTAAAGTAACTTTCCTAGTCCTCTCTCCTATAGCTGTCAGGCCAGTATTCTCAGCGCTTGTTCAGGAAACTACCACCGCGTGTCTGTGTTCCCCTGAAGAACATAGTCAGCGAGGAGTTCCTCAGAGCAGGGTGAGTGTTTATGAAAGAGTGAGTATGTCTTTCTCTTAGTGTGTGTGTTGTCTCTTACCTCATACTTATTCATGCTTTATACATACACACAGAGACCCTGTTCTCAGTGCTGCCCTAAACTCATTAACCTCCACCACACACACATCTATCGTCTCACCCCTCCCCGTCTCTGTTGTTCCAGGCACATCTTCCTGGGGTTCACTAAGTGTGGTCGTTATGTGCTGTCCTCAGTGCATATAATTAACTTTTTGGTCCATCAGCCACTGTGGCAGGTAGATTAAAAAATCACTCCGATTTTTTTAAACATTGTAGTCATTTAGCAGACGCTTATCCATAGTGACTTACAGTTAGTGCATACATTATTTTTTAAATTGTTTCATACTGGCCCCCCGTGGGAATCGAACCCACAACCCTGGCGTTGCAAACGCCATGCTCTACCAACTGAGCTACATCCCTGCCGGCCATTCCCTCCCCTACCCTGGACGACGCTGGGCCAATTGTGCGCCGCCCCATGTGTCTCCCGGTCGCGGCCGGCTACGACAGAGCCTGGATTCGAACCAGGATCTCTAGTGGCACCAGCCAAAATATTCCCCCCCCCCCCATAAATTTCACCAACAAAACACACAAAAAACGGATGAGCATGCTTTGTAATGTTTCTAAAACAATACATGTAAGTAAGAAGTAATGTGGTATTGTTTAATTTCATTTTTTGTGACCAGAGTCTTTTAACCAAAATATCACAGATGAGACAAACATTTTCACCTGGCCCTTTAAGGGCGGGAGGGTACCGTGGTAGCGCTGTAACCTGACTAGTAGAAGCGTTGTCTTCTCTTCCCTAGCAGTTGAAACTCAAACAGAAAAACAACCTAGCTTGTGAACAAAACAATGTACAGTGCATTCTGAAAGTATTCAGACCCCTTGACTCCACATTTTGATACGTTACAGCCTTATTCTAAAATGGATTAAATAGTTTTTTCCCCTCATCAATCTACACACAATACCCCATAAAGACAAAGCGGAAACAGGTTTTTATAAATGTTTGCAAATTTATAAAAAAACAGAAATACCCTATTTACATAAGTATTCAGGCCATTTGCTATGAGACTTGAAATTGACCTCAGTTGCATCCTGTTTCCATTGATCATCCTTGAGATTATTTGGAAAGGCACCCACCTATCTATATAAGTTCCCACAGTTGACAGTGCATGTCAGAGCAAAAACCAAGCCATGAGGTCGAAGGAATTGTCCGTAGAGCTCTGAGACAGGATTGTGTCGAGGCACAAATCTGGGGAAGGGTTAAACAATGTTTTTGCAGCATTGAAGGTCCCCAGGAACACAGTGGCCTCCATCATTCTTAAGTGGAAGAAGTTTGGAACCACCAAGACTCTTCCTAGAGCTGGCCGCCCGGCCAAACTAAGCAATCGGGGGAGAAGGGCCTTGGTCAGGGAGGTGACCAAGAACCCGATGGTCACTCTGACAGAGTTCCTCTGTTGAGATGGGAGAACCTTCCAGAAGGACAACCATCTCTGCAGCACTCTACCAATGAGGCCTTTATGGTAGAGTGGCCAGACGGAAGCCACTCCTCATTAAAAGGCACATGACAGCCCGCTTGGAGTTTGCTAAAAGGCACCTAAAGGACTCTCAGACCATGAGAAACAAGATTCTCTAGTATGATGAAACCAAGATTGAACTCTTTGGCCTGAATGCCAAGCGTCATGTCTGGAGGAAACCTGGCACCATCCCTACGGTGAAGCATGGTGGTGGCAGCATCATGCTGTGGGGATGTTTTTCAGCGGCAGGGACTGAGAGAATAGTCAGGATCGAGGGAAAGATGAAGGGAGAAAAGTACAGAGATATCCTTGATGAAAACCTCCTCCAGTGCGCTCAGGACCTCAGACTGGGACGAAGGTTCACCTTCCAACAGGACAACGACCCTAAGCACACAGCCAAGACAACGCAGGAGTGGCTTCGGGACAAGTCTCTGAATGTCCTTGAGTGGCCCAGCCAGAGCCCGGACTTGAACCCGATCGAACATCTCTGGAGAGTCCTGAAAATAGCTGTGCAGCGACGCTCCCCATCCAACCTGACAGAGCTTAAGAGAATCTGCAGATAAGAATGGGAGAAACTCCCCAAATACAGGTGTGCCAAGCTTGTAGCGTCATACCCAAGAAGACTCAGGGCTGTAATCGTGTAAAGGGTCTGAATACATGTTTTTTTTTATTTTTTATATAAATTAGCAAACATTTATGGGGTATTGTGTGTAGATTGATGAGGGAATATTATTTATTTTTTTACAATGAGGCTTTTTCCACAAGATGTGGAAAAAGTCAAAGGGTCTGAATACTTTCCGAACGCACTGTATATATGTGTGTCAGCAAATTCCGAGAGAGGAGAGAGATATATGAGAGGGAAGAGTTAGAGGAGAGTAGTCAAGAGGAGGAAGGAGTGCTGGAGAGGGAGATGGGAGGGGGAGAGAGGGGAGGGGGAGAGAGGGGAGGGGGAGATGGGAGGGGGAGAGAGGGGGAGGGGGAGAGAGGGGAGAAAGGAGATGGGAGGGGGAGAGAGGGGAGGGGGAGAGAGGGGAGGGGAGAGGAAGAGAGGGGAGAAGAAAAGGGGTGGGAGGGGGAGAGGAGGGGAGAAAGAAAAGGGGGTGGGGGAGAAACACACTCATCTCCACACACACCTTGTGTCCACTCTCTCACACCCCTCCTCCTCTGTTGTTCCAGACACATCTTCCTGGGGTTCACTAAGTGTGGTCGTTACGTGCTGTCCTACACCAGTGACTGTGGAGAGGACGATGACTTCTCCTTCTACACCTACAACCTCTACTGGTGGGAGTTCAACCTGCACAGCAGACTCAAACAGGTAGGTTGGACCGGCTGGGAACCATCTACAGTGCCATCCGTATGGCCTAAAGATCAGTGGACCAGCAGAGCATGGACTACCTACATGGACTGACTGTAGCCTAAACCGTCCAGGATGGGATCTACAGTGCCATCCTTATAGGATCCTAAACCGTCCAGGATGGGATCTACAGTGCCATCCTTATAGGATCCTAAACCGTCCAGGATGTGATCTACAGTGCCATCCTTATAGGATCCTAAACCGTCCAGGATGGGATCTACAGTGCCATCCTTATAGGATTTATGAGGTGGATGATGTGTTGGCTTGGATTGGCCGGTCAACAGTTAACAACAAGCTACATTGGCCTGTCAACAGTAACACAAGCTACAATGGTGAGGAGGTGGATATGAAATCCCCTTCCTTTACTTATCATCTCTCTCTTTCTTTCTCTCTCTCTCTCTCTCTCCATCCCCCTCTTGCTCTTCTCTCTCCCCCCTCACTCTCTCTCTCTCTTCTCCCTCTCTCTCTCCATCACCCTCAGGTGCACCATGTGCGTCTGTTTACAGGTGAGGACATCTACAGTGATCTCTACCTGACAGTGTGTGAGTGGCCCAACGACCACTCCAAGATCGTCATCTTTGGCTTCAAGTAAGACAGAAAGCCGGCGTGCATTTGGTCTTGTAAATATAATATCTGTGATCAGATCAGCTGGTGACTGGACATTTCTGTATTTTCTTGTTTTTCTCTTCCTCTCTCTCTCTCTCTCTCCCTCCCCATATCCCTCTCTCTCTCCCTCTCCATATCCCTCTCTCTCTCCCTCCCCATATCCCTCTCTCTCCCCATATCTCTCTCTCCCTCCCCATATCTTTCTCTCCCTCCCCAATCCTCTCTTTCTCCCATTCTCTCATCTCCCCCACCCTGCCCACTCCTCCCCCCACCTTGTTTCTATCTGTCATACTCGTACCCAACTCGTGTGATGAACTGAGAGGATGAGAACAAGAGGTATCAGCTCCGACGCCTCAGCCTCCCAACCTGCCTCAGTGCTGCCACAAACACTCTACCATACGACACAGGTACGCATACCGCCAATACACACCACCAAGACACAACCGCACGAGATCTAACCATCTTCATGGTCTCTAAACACCGTTACATACGCACAGTAGACCAAACGCACGCGCGACACAACATCACACCTAAATCTAAACCTGCATCATGTGCTGCCCCAACCCTTCACCATACACAAGGCTACAAAGTTGGATGGTACTACATCCCACCAGACAACCATCCTACAAATCTTATACCGTTTCTGCCTTCTTTGTCCTCTAAAAAACGTTTCTGTCTGCAGCATGCTATAGTACCGTCTCTTCTCTTCTCTGTAGTACATTCGACGCATGGGCATATGTTGAAGTCTTTTCTAGGATTGAGAGTGTCTTGACGCATGTGTATGTGCCAAGCCCCCTCAAAGATAGTGGGAGTTTGGTTCAAGCATGGCATAGTCGACAGTCTTGTCTTGGTAATAAAATGCTGTCAGACAGCTAGTGAACGAATTCTTTTCTAGGTAGTGGGAGTGTCTGACATCTATATGTTGAACAGTCTCTCTCTCTAGTATGGAGTGTCTGGAGCATGGCTATGTGAACCAGTTCTCTCTCTCAGTAGGATGTCTGGAGCATGGCTATTGTAACAGTCTCTCTCTACGTAGTTGGAGTTCTGGAGCATGGCAATGTGAACTCTCTCCTCCTAGTCGTCGAGGCCGCGCATGCCTTATGCTTGACATCTTCTCTCTAGTAGTGGAGTGTCTGGCATGACTATATGTTGAAGTTCTACTAACAGTGAGATTCTGAGCATGGCTATAGTGAACAGTCCTCTCTCTAGGTAGTGGAGAGTGTGCGAGCATGCTTACTTGAACAGTCCATCTAGGTAGAGAGCGTCTGGAGCATGGCATATGACACCAGCTACTACTACAGTAAATGGAAAGTGTCTGAAGCCTGCTTGGTGCTCGCACAAACCTCTCCTAGCTAGGGTAGAGGTCTGGAGCAGGCTAGTAAACAAGCATCTCTCACAAGTAGTGGAACGTGATTGGTGCTGGCATAACTTACCATACTCTCTAGGTACACGAGTTTCTTGGGCAGTCATACACATGAACAACTATCCTAGGAGGAGAACATTATGGACGTTGCTTATGTTGCGTCTCTCTAAACGTTCTGTCGGAGCAGTGCTGGATGTATAGTTGAACAGTTCTCTCTCTAGGTAGTGGAGAGTGTCTGGAGCATGGCTATATGTTGAACAGTCTCTCTCTCTAGGTAGTGGAGAGTGTCTGGAGCATGGCTATATGTTGAACAGTCTCTCTCTAGGTAGTGGAGAGTGTCTGGAGCATGGCTATATGTTGAACAGTCTCTCTCTCTAGGTAGTGGAGAGTGTCTGGAGCATGGCTATATGTTGAACAGTCTCTCTCTCTAGGTAGTGGAGAGTGTCTGGAGCATGGCTATATGTTGAACAGTCTCTCTCTCTCTAGGTAGTGGAGAGTGTCTGGAGCATGGCTATATGTTGAACAGTCGGTACCAGGTGGTCTATCCCTTCCCCACCTTCCAGCCTGCCTTCCAGCTGAAGAAAGACCAGGTCATCCTCCTCAACACCTCCTATTCCCTGGTGGCCTGCTCTGTGTCCCTCTGTCCAGGTAGGAGACAACACACTCTTCACCTCTCTGGTTCAGTTTCCTTTTTTCTTTCACTCTACCCCTTCGCTCTTTCTCTGTCTCGTTCTCTTTCCCTCTCTTTCGATATTACTAAGTCCTCTCCTGTGTGATATTACTAAGTCCTCTCCTGTGTGATATTACTAAGTCCTCTCCTGTGTGGTATTACTAAGTCCTCTCCTGTGTGGTATTACTAAGTCCTCTCCTGTGTGGTATTACTAAGTCCTCTCCTGTGTGGTATTACTAAGTCCTCTCCTGTGTGGTATTACTAAGTCCTCTCCTGTGTGGTATTACTAAGTCCTCTCCTGTGTGGTATTACTAAGTCCTCTCCTGTGTGGTATTACTAAGTCCTCTCCTGTGTGGTATTACTAAGTCCTCTCCTGTGTGGTATTACTAAGTCCTCTCCTGTGTGGTATTACTAAGTCCTCTCCTGTGTGGTATTACTAAGTCTCCTCTCATGTGTGATATTATTAAGTCCTCTCCTGTGTGATATTACTCAGTCTCCTCTCATGTGTGATATTATTAAGTCCTCTCATGTGTGATATTATTAAGTCCTCTCCTGTGTGATATTACTCAGTCTCCTCTCATGTGTGATATTAAGTCCTCTCATGTGTGATATTATTAAGTCCTCTCCTGTGTGATATTACTAAGTCCTCTCCTGTGTGATATTACTAAGTCCTCTCCTGTGTGATATTACTAAGTCCTCTCCTGTGTGATATTACTAAGTCCTCTCTGTGTGATATTACTAAGTCCTCTCCTGTGTGATATTACTAAGTCCTCTCCTGTGTGGATATTGATTAAGTCCTCTCCTGTGTGATATTATTAAGTCCTCTCCTGTGTGATATTATTAAGTCCTCTCCTGTTGTGATATTATTAAGTCCCTCTCCTGGGTGATATTACTAAGTCCTCTCCTGTGTGATATTACTCAGTCTCCTCTCATGTGTGATATTATTAAGTCCTCTCATGTGTGATATTATTAAGTCCTCTCCTGTGTGATATTACTAAGTCCTCTCCTGTGTGATATTACTAAGTCCTCTCCTGTGTGATATTACTAAGTCCTCTCCTGTGTGATATTATTAAGTCCTCTCCTGTGTGATATTACTAAGTCCTCTCCTGTGTGATATTACTAAGTCCTCTCCTGTGTGGTATTACTAAGTCCTCTCCTGTGTGGTATTACTAAGTCCTCTCCTGTGTGGTATTACTAAGTCCTCTCCTGTGTGGTATTACTAAGTCCTCTCCTGTGTGGTATTACTAAGTCCTCTCCTGTGTGGTATTACTAAGTCCTCTCCTGTGTGGTATTACTAAGTCTCCTCTCCTGTGTGATATTACTAAGTCCTCTCCTGTGTGATATTACTAAGTCTCCTCTCCTGTGTGATATTACTAAGTCCTCTCCTGTGTGGTATTACTAAGTCCTCTCCTGTGTGGTATTACTCAGTCTCCTCTCCTGTGTGGTATTACTAAGTCCTCTCCTGTGTGGTATTACTAAGTCCTCTCCTGTGTGGTATTACTAAGTCCTCTCCTGTGTGGTATTACTAAGTCCTCTCCTGTGTGGTATTACTAAGTCCTCTCCTGTGTGGTATTACTAAGTCCTCTCCTGTGTGGTATTACTAAGTCCTCTCCTGTGTGGTATTACTAAGTCTCCTCTCCTGTGTGATATTATAAGTCCTCTCTGTGTGATATTACTAAGTCTCTCTCCTGTGTGATATTACTAAGTCCTCTCTTGTGATATTATAAGTCCTCTCCTGTGTGGTATTACTAAGTCCTCTCCTGTGTGTATTACTAAGTCCTCTCCTGTGTGATATTACTCAGTCCCTTCTGTGTGTATTACTAAGTCTCTCCTGTGTGTATTACTAAGTCCTCTCCTGTGTGGTATATACTAAGTCCTCTCCTTTTCTGTCCTCTCCTGTGTGATTACTAGTCTCTCCTGGGGTATTCTTCTCCTCCTGTTGAATACAAGCTCCCCTACCGTGGAATTCAAGCTCCTCTCCTGTGTATTATCAGTCTCCTCCTGCTCCTTTTGTCAGCAGGGTACAGGTCGTCTCTCAGATCCGTCAGAGAAAGCATCAGCCCCCACCTCAGAACATCACCCCGGCGCAATCGCACCTCTTCAACCCGTCGCTCCTCACGGGGCAACAGGCGAACGCAAGTCAAGCCCCGCCCCTCTCTCCCCTAGCCAATCACAAGCCGCCGCCCGGGCGCGAGAGTTTGCCGCCGACCTCTTCAGACGTGCCCAGGGAGGAGGGAGGGAAAACGAGGGAGGAGAGAGGAGAGGGAAAACGGAGAGGAGGGAAGAGGGAGAGGGGAACGTCGTGACTGAGAGAGAAGGGGTGAGCATGGAGAGAGAACGGAGGGAGGAGACACAAACGGATAAACTGACCAGCTCGCCACAGACTTCCGCTTCAGCTGGGAACCAAAGTCTGTCGCGACCTTTGCAAGAGGACTCTGTTCAGTGTGGCACGGTGATGTCTCCTGCCTCCTCGTCCTCCTCGTCCCCCCCAACTCCTCAGTCTTCTCAGGAAGCAGGCTGCAGCGAGCCGGGATATGTCAACTACACACGCTTGCAGTACCGCATGCCGCAGCCGGGGGCGCCAGAGCAGGATGCAGGAGGTGAGACACAGACAGACACTGTAGAAGAAGAAATGTTTTCACATGTAACACACAATGTGCTTGGTCATGTGACTAGGAAGCTGAAACCCCTCCCTCTTTTTCCCCTCTCTCACCCTCCTTTCTTTCTATGTCTGCTTCCCTCTAAACTCCCTCCCTCCCTCTCTTTCTCCCCTCCCTCCCTCCCTCCAGGTTATGAGGATGAGAAGGTCCAGCTTCCCTTCACTGTGACTGACCTGAAGGGACGCAACCTACAGCTGGTCACTGGGCCCCACAACGGACAGGTGTGTGTGTGTGTGTGTGTGTGTGTGTGTGTGTGTGTGTGTGTGTGAGAGAGAGAAAAATATATCCAGCGCTACCAATGGAGAGAGGGCGATAAGGAGCGAAATATGAAAGAGAGGTCTGTCTGAGAGACGGGGCCGGAGTGTGTTCATATTTACACCTGTTGTCTTCACTTAGTATTTGGAAGGAACCCAAGTCAAGGAGAACTGCAGTAAACCTGAACATGCTGAAGTGAGTGTGTGTTTGACCTACAGAGTGTTTGTGTGGAGCAGTTGACTCTGGACTTTGAGTACCTGATCAACGAGGTGATCCGGAGCGACGCCCGCTGGGCTCCTCAGTTCTGCTCCTTCAACGACTACGATGTTGTCATACTGGAGGTATATACATACACACACACTAGACATACACACACTGTAGACCCACACACTGTAGACCCACACACTGTAGACCCACACACTGTAGACCCACACACTGTAGACCCACACGCTGTAGACCCACACGCTGTAGACCCACACGCTGTAGACCCACACGCTGTAGACCCACACGCTGTAGACCCACACGCTGTAGACCCACACACTGTAGACCCACACGCTGTAGACCCACACGCTGTAGACCCACACACTGTAGACCCACACACTGTAGACCCACACACTGTAGACCCACACACTGTAGACCCACACACTATAGACCCACACGCTGTAGACCCACACGCTATAGACCCACACGCTATAGACCCACACACACACACTATAGAGACCCACACACACTATAGAGACCCACACACACTATAGAGACCCATACACACTATAGACCCACATTATAGAGACACACTAGACACACTATAGAGACCCACACACACTATAGAGACCCACACACACACACGCACTATATACACACACACACACACACTGTAGAGACACACTCTATAGACACATACACACACACACACCGTACGCATGCATACACACACACAGGAGCATCTACGGACACTTGCACACATACACACTGTATATATACAGTACCAGTCAAAACTTTGGACACACCTACTCATTCAAGGGTTTTTCTTTATTTTTAGTATTTTCTACATTGTAGAATAATAGTGAAGACATCAAAACTATGAAATAACACATATGGAATCATGTAGTTACCAAAAAAGTGTTAAACAAATCAAAATATATTTTATATTTGAGATTCTTCAAAGTAGCCACCCTTTGCCTTGATGACAGCTTTGCACACTCTTGGCATTCTCTAAAACCAGCTTCACCTGGAATGCTTTTCCAACAGTCTTGAAGGAGTTCCCACATATGCTGAGCACTTGTTGACTGCTTTTCCTTCACTCTGCGGTCCAACTCATCCCAAACCATCTCAATTAGGTTGAGGTTGGGGGATTGTGGAGGCCAGGTCATCTGATGCAGCACTCCATCACTGTCCTTCTTGGTCAAATAGCCCTTACACAGCCTGGAGGTGTGTTGGGCCATTGTCCTGTTGAAAAACAAATGATAGTCCCGCTAAGCCCAAACCAGATGGGATGGCGTATCGCTGCAGAATGCTGTGGTAGCCATGCTGATTAAGTGTCCCTTGAATTCTAACTATATCACAGACAGTGTCACCAGCATAGCACCATCACACCACCTCCTCCATGCTTCACGGTGGGAACTACACATGCAGAGATCATCCGTTCACCCACATCGAGTCTCACAAAGACACAGTGGTTGAAACCAAATATCTCCCATTTGGACTCCAGACCAAAAGACAGATTTCCACCGGTCTAATGTCCATTGCTCGTGTTTCTTGGCCCAAGCAAGTCTCTTCTTCTTATTGGTGTCCTTTAGTAGTGGTTTCTTTGCAGCAATTTGACCATGAAGGCCTGATACACCCAGTCTCCTCTGAACATTTAATGTTGAGATGTGTCTGTTACTTGAACTCTGTGAAGCACTTATTTGGGCTGCAATTTCTGAGGCTGGTAACTAATGAACTTATCCTCTGCAGCAGAGCTAACTCTGGGTCTTCCTTTCCTGTGGTGGTCCTCATGAGAGCCAGTTTCATCATAGCGCTTGATGGTTTTTGCGACTGCACTTGAAGAAACTTTCAAAGTTCTTCACTTTTTCCAGATTGACTGACCTTCATGTCTTAAAGTAATGATAGACTGTTGTTTCTCTTGGCTTATTTGAGCTGTTCTTGCCATAATATGGACTTGGTATTTTACCAAATAGGGCTATCTTCTGTATACCCCCTACCTTGTCACAACACAACTGATTGGCTCAAACGCATTAAGAAGGAAAGAAATTCCACAAATTAACTTTTAAGAAGGCACACCTGTTAATTGAAATGCATTCCAGGTGACTACCTCATGAAGCTGGTTGAGAGAATGCCAAGAGTGTGCAAAGCTGTCGTCAAGGCAAAGGGTGGCTATTTGTTTAATGCTTTTTTTGATTACTACATGATTCCATATGTGTTATTTCATAGTTTTGATGTCTTCACTATTATTCTACAATGTAAAAATAAAGAAAAACCCTTGAATGAGTAGGTGTGTCCAAACTTTTTACTGGTACTGTGTAATATACAGTGAGGGAAAAAAGTATTTGATCCCCTGCTGATTTTGTACGTTTGCCCACTGACAAAGAAATGATCAGTCTATAATTTTAATGGTAGGTTTATTTGAACAGTGAGAGACAGAATAACAACAAAAAAATCCAGAAAAACGCATGTCAAAAATGTTCTAAACTGATTTGCGTTTTAATGAGGGAAATAAGTATTTGACCCCCTCTCAATCAGAAAGATTTCTGGCTCCCAGGTGTCTTTCATACAGGTAACGAGCTGAGATTAGGAGCACACTCTTAAAGGGAGTGCTCCTAATCTCAGCTTGTTACCTGTATAAAAGACACCTGTCCACAGAAGCAATCAATCAATCAGATTCCAAACTCTCCACCATGGCCAAGACCAAAGAGCTCTCCAAGGATGTCAGGGACAAGATTGTAGACCTACACAAGGCTGGAATGGGCTACAAGACCATCGCCAAGCAGCTTGGTGAGATGGTGACAACAGTTGGTGCGATTATTCGCAAATGGAAGAAACACAAAAGGACTGTCAATCTCCCTCGGCCTGGGGCTCCATCCAAGATCTCACCTCGTGGAGTTGCAATGATCATGAGAACGGTGAAGCACAAAACTACAGGGGAGGATCTTGTCAATGATCTCAAGGCAGCTGGGACCATAGTCACCAAGAAAACAATTGGTAACACACTACGCCGTGAAGGACTGAAATCCTGCAGCGCCCGCAAGGTCCCCCTGCTCAAGAAAGCCCATATACAGGCCTGTCTGACGTTTGCCAATGAACATCTGAATGATTCAGAGGAGAACTGGGTGAAATTGTTGTGGTCAGATGAGACCAAAATTGAGCTCTTTGGCATCAACTCAACTCGCCGTGTTTGGAGGAGGAGGAATGCTGCCTATGACCCCAAGAACACCATCCCCACCGTCAAACATGGAGGTGGAAACATTATGCTTTGGGGGTGTTTTTCTGCTAAGGGGACAGGACAACATTACCGCATCAAAGGGACGATGGACGGGGCCATGTACCGTCAAATCTTGGGTGAGAACCTCCTTCCCTCAGCCAGGGCATTGAAATGGGTCGTGGATGGGTATTCCAGCATGACAATGACCCAAAACACACGGCCAAGGCAACAAAGGAGTGGCTCAAGAAGAAGCAGATTAAGGTCCTGGAGTGGCCTAGCCAGTCTCCTGACCTTAATCCCATAGAAAATCTGTGGAGGGAGCTGAAGGTTCGAGTTGCCAAACGTCAGCCTCGAAACCTTAATGACTTGGAGAAGATCTGCAAAGAGGAGTGGGACAAAATCCCTCCTGAGATGTGTGCAAACCTGGTGGCCAACTACAAGAAACGTCTGACCTCTGTGATTGCCAACAAGGGTTTTGCCACCAAGTACTAAGTCATGTTTTGCAGAGGGGTCAAATACTTATTTCCCTCATTAAAATGCAAATCAATTGATAACATTTTTTACATGCATTTTTCTGGATTTTTTTGTTGTTATTCTGTCTCTCACTGTTCAAATAAACCTACCACTAAAATTATAGACTGATCATGTCTTTGTCAGTGGGCAAACGTACAAATACTTTTTTCCCTCACTGTATATATATATATACAGTGGGGAAAAAAAGTATTTAGTCAGCCACCAATTGTGCAAGTTCTCCCACTTAAAAAGATGAGAGAGGCCTGTAATTTTCATCATAGGTGCACGTCAACTATGACAGACAAATTGAGAAAAAAAAATCCAGAAAATCACATTGTAGGATTTTTAATGAATTTATTTGCAAATTATGGTGGAAAATAAGTATTTGGTCACCTACAAACAAGCAAGATTTCTGGCTCTCACAGACCTGTAACTTCTTCTTTAAGAGGCTCCTCTGTCCTCCACTCGTTACCTGTATTAATGGCACCTGTTTGAACTTGTTATCAGTATAAAAGACACCTGTCCACAACCTCAAACAGTCACACTCCAAACTCCACTATGGCCAAGACCAAAGAGCTGTCAAAGAACACCAGAAACAAAATTGTAGACCTGCACCAGGCTGGGAAGACTGAATCTGCAATAGGTAAGCAGCTTGGTTTGAAGAAATCAACTGTGGGAGCAATTATTAGGAAATGGAAGACATACAAGACCACTGATAATCTCCCTCGATCTGGGGCTCCACGCAGGTTCTCACCACGTGGGGTCAAAATGATCACAAGAACGGTGAGCAAAAATCCCAGAACCACATGGGGGGACCTAGTGAATGACCTGCAGAGAGCTGGGACCAAAGTAACAAAGCCTACCATCAGTAACACACTACGCCGCCAGGGTCTCAAATCCTGCAGTGCCAGACGTGTCCCCCTGCTTAAGCCAGTACATGTCCAGGCCCGTCTGAAGTTTGCTAGAGTGCATTTGGATGATCCAGAAGAGGATTGGGAGAATGTCATATGGTCAGATGAAACCAAAATAGAACCTTTTGGTAAAAACTCAACTCGTTGTGTTTGGAGGACAAAGAATGCTGAGTTGCATCCAAAGAACACCATACCTACTGTGAAGCATGGGGGTGGAAACATCATGCTATGGGGCTGTTTTTCTGCAAAGGGACCAGGACGACTGATCCGTGTAAAGGAAAGAATGAATGGGGCCATGTATCGTGAGATTTTGAGTGAAAACCTCCTTCCATCAGCAAGGGCATTGAAGATGAAACGTGGCTGGGTCTTTCAGCATGACAATGATCCCAAACACACCGCCCGGGCAACGAAGGAGTGGCTTCGTAAGAAGCATTTCAAGGTCCTGGAGTGGCCTAGCCAGTCTCCAGATCTCAACCCCATAGAAAATCTTTGGAGGGAGTTGAAAGTCTGTGTTGCCCAGCGACAGCCCCAAAACATCACTGCTCTAGAGGAGATCTGCATGGAGGAATGGGCCAAAATACCAGCAACAGTGTGTGAAAACCTTGTGAAGACTTACAGAAAACGTTTGACCTGTGTCATTGCCAACAAAGGGTATATAACAAAATATTGAGACACTTTTGTTATTGACCAAATACTTATTTTCCACCATAATTTGCAAATAAATTCATAAAAAATCCTACAATGTGATTTTCTGGATTTTTTTTTCTCATTTTGTCTGTCATAGTTGACGTGTACCTATGATGAAAATTACAGGCCTCTCTCATCTTTTTAAGTGGGAGAACTTGCACAATTGGTGGCTGACTAAATACTTTTTTTCCCCACTGTATATATATATATATATATATATATATATATATATATATATATATATATATATATATATACACAGTCTATACGCATGAGCACACACACACTCTACATGCACACACACTCACATCGGGTCAGACAGTAATGGTGTGTGTGTGTGTATCAGGTGTGTCCGGAGACTAACACGGTGGTGATCAACATTGGTCTGCTGCTGCTGGCCTTCTCCAACCCTGAAGAGGAACACTGCAGGTAACTACACTACACACACACACCTCTACACACTACACATACACACACACCTATACACACACACCTATACACACTACACACACACACCTATACACACTACACACACACCTCCACGCTTCATCCCAGCTTGAACGAAAAAGGGAATCGGGACCGTATGTATCAAGTGAGTGCTGATCTAGGATCAGTTTAGCCTTTTAGATCACAACAAATAAGATTACATGGACGGGGGGGGGGGGTGATCCTAGATCAGCACTCCAGCTCTGAGATACAGGTGCTCAACTGAGGAACTTGATCATCCAAAACAGCATTCCTGACCTCCGAACACCTCACCAGGTGACCATCCCAGGAAAACAATTGTATTGGTCACATACACGTGTTTAGCAGATGTTATTGCGGGTGTAGCGAAATGCTTGTGCTTCTAGCTCCGACAGTGCAGTAATATCTAACAATTTACAACATATACCCAATACACACAAATCTAAGTAAATAGATGAGTTTAGTCACAACACAAACAAACAGGAGTGATTTTTATTTTATTTATTTATCACCTGGTGAGGTTGTTTTGGGGTCAGGAGTGCTGTTTTAAACACCTCTGTCTGTCACTCACACTAAACGGTAGTTTCCTGTCTTGTCTTCCAGGCCCAACACCTACCACTCCAGTCTGCAGGTGAGCTGGGACCTCAACACAGGAGTGTGTCACACCGTCGGGGTTGGTGACCTCACTGAGGTCAAGGGTCAGACCAGGTGAGACTCTCTCTTTCTCTTTTCATACCACTCTTTCTTTCTCTCTCTCTTGTTCTTCATATCTCCCTCTTCTCTCCCCTCCTCTAGTGGCAGTGTATGGAGTTCCTACAGGAAGTCTTGTGTTAACACCGTAATGAAGTGGCTGGTTCCAGAGAGCAGCTCTCGCTATATCAACCGCATGACCAACGAGGCCCTGCACAAAGGTACACATACCCTGGCTTGCGAAAGTATTCACCCCCCCTTGCCATTTTTCCTATTTTGTTGTCTTACAACCTGGAATTAAAATTGATTTTTGGGGGGTTTGTATCATTTGATTTACACAACATGCCTACCACTTTGAAGATGCAAAATATTTTTGGGGGTGAAACAAACAAAAAAAACAGAACTTGAGCGTGCATAACTATTCACCCCCCCCCCAAAGTCAATACTTTGTAAAGTTTCAGATATTTTTTTATAACCCAACCCTGATCTGTATTTCTCCACAACTTTGTCCCTGACCTGTTTGGAGAGCTCCTTGGTCTTCATGGTGCCGCTTGCTTGGTGGTGCCCCTTGCTTAGTGGTGTTGCAGACTCTGTGGCCTTTCAGAACAGGTGTATATGTGTGTATATATATATATATATATATATATATACAGTGGGGAGAACAAGTATTTGATACACTGCCGATTTTGCAGGTTTTCCTACTTACAAAGCATGTAGAGGTCTGTAATTTTTATCATAGGTACACTTCAACTGTGAGAGACGGAATCTAAAACAAAAATCCAGAAAATCACATTGTATGATTTTTAAGTAATTAATTTGCATTTTATTGCATGACATAAGTATTTGATCACCTACCAACCAGTAAGAATTCCGGCTCTCACACAAGTTTTTCTTTAAGAAGCCCTCCTGTTCTCCACTCATTACCTGTATTAACTGCACCTGTTTGAACTCGTTACCTGTATAAAAGACACCTGTCCACACACTCAATCAAACAGACTCCAACTTCTCCACAATGGCCAAGACCAGAGAGCTGTGTAAGGACATCAGGGATAAAATTGTAGACCTGCACAAGGCTGGGATGGGCTACAGGACAATAGGCAAGCAGCTTGGTGAGAAGGCAACAACTGTTGGCACAATTATTAGAAAATGGAAGAAGTTCAAGATGAAGGTCAATCACCCTCGGTCTGGGGCTCAATGCAAGATCTCACCTCGTGGGGCATCAATGATCATGAGGAAGCTGAGGGATCAGCCCAGAACTACACGGCAGGACCTGGTCAATGACCTGAAGAGAGCTGGGACCACAGTCTCAAAGAAAACCATTAGTAACACACTACGCCGTCATGGATTAAAATCCTGCAGCGCACGCAAGGTCCCCCTGCTCAAGCCAGCGCATGTCCAGGCCACGCTGAAGTTTGCCAATGACCATCTGGATGATCCAGAGGAGGAATGGGAGAAGGTCATGTGGTCTGATGAGACAAAAATATAGTTTTTTGGTCTAAACTCCACTCGCCGTGTTTGGAGGAAGAAGAAGGATGAGTACAACCCCAAGAACACCATCCCAACTGTGAAGCATGGAGGTGGAAACATCATTCTTTGGGGATGCTTTTCTGAAAAGGAGACAGGACGATTGCACCGTATTGAGGGGAGGATGGATGGGGCCATGTATCGCGAGATCTTGGCCAACAACCTCCTTCCCTCAGTAAGAGCACTGAAGATGGGTCGTGGCTGGGTCTTCCAGCATGACAACTACCCAAAACACACAGCCAGGGCAACTAAGGAGTGGCTCCGTAAGAAGCATCTCAAGGTCCTGGAGTGGCCTAGCCAGTCTCCAGACTTGAACCCAATAGAAAATCTTTGGAGGGAGCTGAAAGTCCGTATTGCCCAGCGATAGCCCCGAAACCTGAAGGATCTGGAGAAGGTCTGTATGGAGGAGTGGGCCAAAATCCCTGCTGCAATATGTGCAAACCTGGTCAAGAACTACAGGAAACGTATGATCACTGTAATTGCAAACAAAGGTTTCTGTACCAAATATTAAGTTCTGCTTTTCTGATGTATCAAATACTTATGTCATGCAATAAAATGCAAATTAATTACTTAAAAATCATACAATGTGATTTTCTGGATTTTTGTTTTAGATTCCGTCTCTCACAGTTGAAGTGTACCTATGATAAAAATTACAGACCTCTACATGCTTTGTAAGTAGGAAAACCTGCAGTGTATCAAATACTTGTTCTCCCCACTGTATATATATATACTGAGATCATGTGACAGATTGTAACACTTGGATTGCACACAGGTGGACTTTATTTAACTAACTATGTGACTTCTGAAGGTGATTGGTTGCACCAGATCTTATTTAGGGGCTTCATAGCAAAGGGGGTGAATACATATGCACACACCACTTTTCCGTTATTAATTTTGTATAATTTTTTGAAACAAGTTATTTTTTTCATTTCACTTCACCAATTTGGACTATTTTGTGTATGTCCATTACATGAAATCCAAGTAAATTACAGGTTGTAATGCAACAAAATAGGAAAAAAGCCAAGGGGGATGAATACTTTTGCAAGGCACTGTATATACAATGAGTGTACAAAACATTAAGAACACCTTCCTAATATTCAGTTGCACCCCCTTTTGCCCTCAGAACAGCCTCAATTTGTCAGGGTTATGGACTCTACAAGATGTCGAAAGCGTTCCACAGGGATGCTGGCCCATGTTGACTCCAATGCTTCCCACAGTTGTGTCAAGTTGGCTGGATGTCCTTTGGGTTGCGAACCATTATTGATCCACACGGGGGAAACTGTTGAGCGTGTAAAACCCAGCAGTGTTGCAATTCTTACATTTTACATTTAGCAGACGCTCTTATCCAGAGCCACTTACAGTTAGAGTGCATACATTTTCATACTGGCCCCCCGTGGGAAACGAACCCACAACCCTGGCGTTGCAAGCACCATGCTCTACCAACTGAGATACACGGGGCTCTTGCCACACTCTACACTGCGCCTGGCACCTACTACCATACCCCGTTCAAAGGTACAAATATTACCATACCCCGTTCAAAGGCACAAATCTTTTGTCTTGCCCATTCACCCTCTGAATGGCACACATACACAATCCATGTCTCAATTGTCTCAAGGCTTAAAAATCCTTCTTTAACCTGTCTCCTCCCCTTCATCTACACTGATTGAAGTGGATTTAACAAGTGACATCAATAAGGGATCATAGCTTTCACCTGGTCAGCCTATGTCATGGAAAGAGCAGGTGTCCTTAATGTGTTCTATACTCACACATGGGCCAGCAGCATAACACCCAGCATCCCACTGCTGGCTTGCCTCTGAAGCTAAGCAGGGTTGGTCCTGCATCCCACTGCTGGCTTGCCTCTGAAGCTAAGCAGGGTTGGTCCTGCATCCCACTGCTGGCTTGCCTCTGAAGCTAAGCAGGGTTGGTCCTGTATCCCACTGCTGGCTTGCCTCTGAAGCTAAGCAGGGTTGGTCCTGCATCCCACTGCTGGCTTGCCTCTGAAGCTAAGCAGGGTTGGTCCTGCATCCCACTGCTGGCTTGCCTCTGAAGCTAAGCAGGGTTGTCCTGCATCCCACTGCTGGCTTGCCTCTGAAGCTAAGCAGGGTTGGTCCTGCATCCCACTGCTGGCTTGCCTCTGAAGCTAAGCAGGGTTGTCCTGCATCCCACTGCTGGCTTGCCTCTGAATAAGCCCCCGCCTCAAGCAGGGTTGGTCCTGCATCCCACTGCTGGCTTGCCTCTGAAGCTAAGCAGGGTTGGTCCTGCATCCCACTGCTGGCTTGCCTCTGAAGCTAAGCAGGGTTGGTCCTGCATCCCACTGCTGGCTTGCCTCTGAAGCTAAGCAGGGTTGGTCCTGCATCCCACTGCTGGCTTGCCTCTGAAGCTAAGCAGGGTTGGTCCTGTTCGGTCCCTGGATGGGAGACTAGATGCTGCTGGAAATGGTGTTGCACTGTTTCCTCTGGTCTAAAAAAAAATATCCCAATGCCCCAGGGCAGTGATTGGGGACATTGCTCTGTGTAGGGTGCCGTCTTTCAAATGGGATGTTAAACTGTGGTCACTAAAGATCCCATGGCACTTATCGTAAGAGTAGGGGTGTTAACCCCGCTGTCGTGGCTAAATCCCCAATCTGGCCCTCATACCATCATGGCCACCTAATCATCCCCAGCTTCCAATTGGCTCATTCATCCCCCCTCCTCTCCCCTGTAACTATTCCCCAGGTTGTTGCTGTAAATGAGAATGTGTTCTCAGTCAACTGACCTGGGAAAATAAGGGTTAAATAAAAAAAGACTGACTGACACACTATCTTTATGTAAATGACAACTTCAAACTCTCTTATTATTCTGTTAACTAATGTGATGTTTGTCCCTCTCTCTCTCTTCTGTCTAGGTTCCTCTCTAGAGGTGTTAACTAATGTGATGTTTGTCCCCCTCTCTCTTCTGTCTAGGTTCCTCTCTACAGGTGTTAGCTGACAGCGACCGGAGTACCTGGATCATACTATGAGGGACAACAGAGGAGTGTCCTGACACCAGAGGCTCGGACTGTCACACACAGACACACACACATCGACTCACACTCACACACAGTCAACCTGTTAGCTGCTACAGTAACAGTGAAAGGGGGCGTCTCAAAAGGCACCCTATTCCATATGTGGTGCACTACTTTTGACTGGAGCCCTTATGGCTGTGGTGAAAAGTAGTGCACCACATAGGGCCTTCAAACTCAACTCTGGACCTCAAAGCCAGTCCCACTGATTTAGAACAGGGACACCAGGTGTGTGATATTAATGATCAGGTAGAACAGAAAAGCAGCAGGCTCCGGACCTCGTGGGGTCAGAGTTGAACAGCCCTAATATAGGGAATAGGGTGTCATGACTCAGTTACTACGTGTCGCCAACTTGGATCTGTGCACCTGCCTCTGTAATGTTGTAGGATGGAAGAAACATTGTGTGTTTTTCACATCTTCTGTTTGATAATTGTGGACTATATTATGGAACCATTTGCACCCGGAGCTGGACTGAACAAAGATGTTTTTACTGTGTTTTTTTTAAAGTTTCTTTGGTATCATTTTCCGTTTTATGCCTGTGTGTGTGAGAGAGAGAGAGAGAGAGAGATGTGTATGTAGAGAGAAGTTGTGTGGCCCTCATGCCTCCGAGATTCTGCTGGTGTTCTCAGAACCTAAAAGGACTCTCCTCTAAACCAGACCTACATATGAACTGGAACCAATCCTGTTATTTGTCGCTCTGGAGTGACGTTGCCCCTAAGTACAGATGTAGGATCAGCTTCCCCTCCCCCAATCCTAACCATTAGTGGGGGACATTTTAAAACTGACCACAGATCAGTATCTAGGGGCAGCTTCATCTGTCTCTTATTTTACTGTTGACAGAGTTCTTGTTTTTCTGTGTCCAAAATGGCTCCCTATGTAGTGCACTACGTTTTGTCCAGAGCCTCATTAGCTCTCATAGGCTTTGGTCAGAAGTAGTGCACTGCATAGGGAATAGGGTGTCAGTTCAGATTGGTCCCTTGTCTTTATAAATGTATTTGTATGTGATGGAGTTAGGGTTGCAAAATTCCGATAACTTTCCCAAAATGTCCAGGTTTTCTACAAATCCTGGTTGGAGGATTCCAGATTTACTGCTTATTCCCTCATCCCAGGAATCTTTTTAGGAAAGTTACAGGAATTTTGCAACCCTAGATGGAGCAGAGGCTTATGGGAGATGTAGTTTATCAGGCTGTATCTTTAACAGACTGGACAGAGAGCATGGTTCACTTGAATATTTTTGATAAAAATAAATAATTGAAAGATTTGTCTTGCGTGGGGTTGTCTATTTCCTGTGTGTGTGTGAAGAACAACACTTTTTAAAAACGTTTTAAGAGATTGTGTGTGTGAGAAGAGGGAAACATTTGTAAAGTATGTATATTTTCCATTTAATGGCTAAAGGTGGGCTGGTATCACGTCTTTATGGTGCAACAACTATGAGCACAAGATGTTGAAAAGACCTCTAACATCTCCTGCTCACTGGGTACTGATAATAAAACTACAAACTCGTCACAGGGATTCAATACAAAGGTCTCCAAAACGTATACTAGATATCTTATGTGATTGTACAATAGTAATACAGTAGCTAAATACTCTGGATAGTACATCAAAATATGCTACACATACTGTTGAAATAAGGCCATAATGGTTCAAGGAGTACAATAAATATATGATAGTCACTAAAAGTTCACTAAAGTGACACGATATCTATATTTACTAATATTTCTATAGATATATATTACACATTCACTTATCTGTACTAAATAGCTTTTTTTGTTTACTATAGTTGACTTTTTGCTGATTCAGCGAGCTGGCAGTTAGGGTTGCCATGGATACAATGTTGCATGTGCTCTTGCATTGTCATCTGCCAACCTGATTGGTCGTGTGAGTTCTGACCTTGTGGCCCAATCACAGATTAGCGATGTTTCTGTGAAGGTCTGTAGACCGCTGGTGAGATATCACTTTACTGTTTGTGGATGAATGATGGATGAGGATGGATGGACAAACGAATGTGATATATACAGGATGCATTATGGCTGCCCCCTCTATTCCACGACCCTACATATGCCTGCTATAACTCCTTATAAACACTTTAATAACAATACATTCCCAAAGAGTTACGAACAAATGTCAGATTGTACAAGTCCGCAGACAAGTTTAGAAACACTTTAATTTATAAATCTGATATCTAATTCCAAATGGCACCCTATTCCCTATATAGGGCACTATAGGGCCCACAGGGAAAGGAAAGTGCACTATATAGGGAATAGGGTGCCATTTGGGATGCAAACACAAGCTTTGTCTAGCACCACAAGGCACAGGTAATCTCTTAGTTGGCCAAATAAAAAAATAAAATACAATAAATGTTCTTTCTAAACGCTGCACTGTATCGACCTAGACACCCCACCCTCTAAACTAGAGGTCTGTGTTATACATCAGGTTACTACTGTTACAGCGTCTGATTGATCGATATTGATCAATTCATATCAAGACACCTTCAGTCTCATTTGATGGAGGGCTATTAACATATTCATACTCAATCTTTGAGGCTCCTTCCTAAACGGTGCCCTGTTTAAGTACCAATAGGATGCCATTTGGAAAACTCTGTGAGAAGTGGTTATTTAAGAGGTCATCATGAACATCATCAGGCCCTAAAAACAGACCGGTGTAACAACTCTACACCTGGCTTGAGGCAAACGCAGTAAATCTCTCTCCCCTTCTCTCGCTTTCTATGGCAGTTAGGACAGTGGGTGAGAAGGTGAGGACAGAGATGATTATAGGCATGCAGGTTTGACTGACATATAGGTCTAGATTCAATCTGAGGTATAGTATAGACCGCTGTTAACAGTGACATATAGGTCGGGATTCATCCGAGGTACATTGTAGACTTAATGTTGACAATGCCCCCTTTTAAAGGCAATGCCCCCTGACGTGTTCGCGGAGACTGCATTCACGGTAAACGTTGCATGTCAGCTCAATCGGAAATTACCTTTAAAATGTCAAGTGTGCTACAATACACTTCGGATTGAATCTCGGCCACTGTGTTGGTACAAGACTGTTTATGCATCCAACAACAACGAGTTGCCAAACTAGGGGTAATGTTAATTGGTGGGATAAGATAAATTGGTAAAATCTGAAACAGACCGTTACCCCAGACTAGTGTGTTTAGTGAAGAGGTTACTGTCTCTTATGTCACAATGAAGGACTAGTGTGTAGTGAAGGGGTTACTGTGTCTTATGTCACAATGAAGGACTAGTGTGTTTAGTGAAGAGGTTACTGTCTCTTATGTCACAATGAAGGACTAGTGTGTAGTGAAGGGGTTACTGTGTCTTATGTCACAATGAAGGACTAGTGTGTAGTGAAGGTGTTACTGTCTCTTATGTCACAATGAAGGACTAGTGTGTCTAGTGAAGGGGTTACTGTCTCTTATGTCACAATGAAGGACTAGTGTGTCTAGTGAAGGGGTTACTGTCTCTTATGTCACAATGAAGGCGATGATGAGGAACAATGAGGAACCATGACAACTAAAAGAGCTGAAAAGGTAAAGTGTCAGTAGGAAGGCAAGCTGTGAAACCTCTCTCTCTCCTTCTCTCACACACACACAGTCTTGTACAGCTAACCTTGTGGGGGGACACAATTCAGTCACATTCAAAATCCTATTTTCCCTAACCTTAACCCAAAAACCTAACATTAACCCTAAAACTTACCCTAGCTCCTAACCCTTAATGTAATTCTAACCCTAATTCTAACCTTAACCTCCTAGAAATAGCATTTGACCTTGTGGGGACTAACAAAATGTCCCCAGTTGGTCAAATATTTGTTTGTTTACTATTCTAGTAAAACATGTCCACACACACACACACACACACACACACACACACACACACACACACACACACCTCTCCAGAGAGATCAAGGTGCAGACAGAGTGTGTGAGGTTAGGTTGCAGGAACAGATAAGGAACTTAATGGCATTGGGAACACAAATGGGCTCATAGCAAACTATCATTAAGGCAAAGGATGAGTGTGTTATTGAGGGTGTGTGTGTGTCATGTTAGCCAACGGCTAAGTCGAGAGTGTGTGATTTAAGTTGTCAGTGTGCGTGTGTGTTGGGTCAGTGTGTGTGAGTCACTGTGTGTGTGGTATTGAAAAGTCCTCAGGGGTCAGTGTGTTGGGTCAGTGTGTGTGAGTCACTGTGTGTGTGGTATTGAACAGTCCTCAGGGGTCAGTGTGTTGGGTCAGTGTGTTGGGTCAGTGTGTGTGAGTCACTGTGTGTGTGGTATTGAAAAGTCCTCAGGGGTCAGTGTGTTGGGTCAGTGTGTGTGTGGTATTGAACAGTCCTCAGGGGTCAGTGTGTGTTGGGTCAGTGTGTTGGGTCAGTGTGTGTGTGGTATTGAACAGTCCTCAGGGGTCAGTGTGTGTGTGGTATTGAACAGTCCTCAGGGGTCAGTGTGTTGGGTCAGTGTGTGTGTGGTATTGAACAGTCCTCAGGGGTCAGTGTGTTGGGTCAGTGTGTGTGTGGTATTGAACAGTCCTCAGGGGTCAGTGTGTGTGTGGTATTGATCAGTCCTCAGGGGTCAGTGTGTTGGGACAGTGTGTGTGTGGTATTGATCAGTCCTCAGGGGTCAGTGTGTTGGGTCAGTGTGTGTGTGGTATTGAACAGTCCTCAGGGGTCAGTGTGTTGGGTCAGTGTGTGTGTGGTATTGAACAGTCCTCAGGGGTCAGTGTGTTGGGTCAGTGTGTGTGTGGTATTGAACAGTCCTCAGGGGTCAGTGTGTTGGGTCAGTGTGTGTGTGGTATTGAACAGTCCTCAGGGGTCAGTGTGTGTGTGGTATTGAACAGTCCTCAGGGGTCAGTCCTGGCTAGCTTGATGGGTGGCTCCAGTGACGACTCCCCCTCTCCCAGACCAGCGGAGTTAGACGGCATGGTCATCTCTACCCCCTCTTCATCACTCTCCTCCTCCTCATCATCTTCCTCATCTGAGACACACAGACAGACACACACACACACACACACATTTAAGCCAAATACATTTAAACTCAGTTTTTCACAATTCCTGACATTTAATCCTAGTAAAAATTCCCTGTTTTAGGTCAGTTAGGATCACCACTTTATTTTAAGAATGTGAAATGTCAGAATAATAGTAGAGAGAATGATTTATTTATTTCAGCTTTTATTTATTTCATCACATTCCCAGTGGGTCAGAAGTTTACATACACTCAATTAGTATTTGGTAGCATCGTCTTTAAATTGTTTAACTTGGGTCAAATGTTTCGAGTAGCCTTCCACAAGCTTCCCACAATAAGTTGTGTGAATTTTGGCCCATTCCTCCTGACAGAGCTGGTGTAACTGAGTCAGGTTTGTCGGCCTCCTTGCTCGCACACGCTTTTTTAGTTCCCCCACACATTTTCTATAGGATTGAGGTCAGGGCATTGTGATGGCCACTCCAATACCTTGACTTTGTTGTCCTTAAACCATTTTGCCACAACTTTGGAAGTATGCTTGGGGTCATTGTCCATTTGGAAGACCCATTTGCGACCAAGCTTTAACTTCCTGACTGATGTCTTGAGATGTTGCTTCAATATATCCACATCATTTTCCTTCCTCATGATGCCATCTATTTTGTGAAGTGCACCAGTCCCTCCTGCAGCAAAGCACCCCCACAGCATGATGCTGCCACCCCCGTGCTTCACGGTTGGGATGGTGTTCTTCGGCTTGCAAGCGAACCCCTTTTTCCTCCAAACATAACGATGGTCATTATGGCCAAACAGTTGTATTTTAGTTTAAATCAGACCAGAGGACATTTCTCCAAAAAGTAAGATCTTTGTCCCCATGTGCAGTTGCAAACTGTAGTCTGGCTTTTTTATGGCGGTTTTGGAGCAGTGGCTTCCTTCTTCCTTGCTGAGCGGCCTTCCAGGTTATCTCGATATAGGACTCGTTTTACTGTGGATATAGATACTTTTGTACCCGTTTCCTCCAGCATCTTCACAAGGTCCTTTGCTGTTGTTCTGGGATTGATTTGCACTTTTCGCACCAAAGTACGTTCATCTCTAGGAGACAGAACGCGTCTCCTTCCTGAGCGGTATGACGGCTGCGTGGTCCCATGGTGTTTATACTTGCGTACTATTGTTTGTACAGATGAACGTGGTACCTTCAGGCATTTGGAAATTGCTCCCAAGGATGAACCAGACTTGTGGAGGTCTACCATTTTTTTGCTGAGGTCTTGGCTGATTTCTTTTGATTGTCCCATGATGTCAAGCAAAGAGGCACTGAGCTTGAAGGTAGGCCTTGAAATAATCCACAGGTACACCTCCAATTGACTCAAATGATGTCAATTAGCCTATCAGAAGCTTCTAAAGCCATGACATCCTTTTCTGGAATTTTCCAAGCCGTTTAAAGGCACAGTCAAATTAGTATATGTAAACCTCTGACCCACTGGAATTGTGATACAGTGAATTATAAGTGAAATAATCTGTCTGTAAACAATTGTTGGAAAAATGACTTGTGTCATGCACAAAGTCCTAACCGACTTTTACATTTTGACATTTTAGTCATTTAGCAGACGCTCTTATCCAGAGCGACTTACAGTTTTAGTGAGTGCATAAATTTTTCATACTGGCCCCCCGTGGGAAACAAACCCACAACACTGGCGTTGCAAGCGCCATGCTCTACCAACTGAGCTACAGGAGACCCCACAGACTTGCCAAAACTATAGTTTGTTAACAAGACATTTGCGGAGTGGTTGAAAAAAACGAGTTTTAATAACTCCAACCTAAGTGTATGTAAACTTCCGACTTCAACTGTATATTAACCTTTTCAAATCAGTCCAGGTTTATTGTGCCCACATTATGTCAGATATAAAACATTGGAAGGGTTGAAGTATAATATAGAGATGAAGCATTTACCTTTATCAGGATCCTGAAAGTTCAGACTCCTGCCCACACTGGCAAACTGAGGGAGAGATATTCATATTTATTGTTTATTTCACTTTTGTTTACTATCTACTTCACTTGCTTTGGCAATGTAAACACACGTTTCCCATGCCAATAAAGCCCTTACATTGAATTGAATTGAAATTGAGAGAGAGAGAGAGAGAGAGAGAGACAATAAGCAATGTATCATGTGTGTCAGTATGTGTGTTTATGTGCCCTTGAGTCCATGTACATGCTTGCTTGCTCGCAAGTGTGTGTGTGTGTGTGTGTGTGTGTGTGTGTGTGTGTGTACCTCTCCCATGACAGCGATGGGTGTCTCTCCTTTAGCCTGGGCCACTCTGTGTTCTATCAGGTAGTACATGTACTCATCATAAAGCAGTCTGATCAGGTGGAAGGAGCCGAAGCTGGCAGCACTACGCAGAGTCAAGTCCCTGATCACCATGGAACTGGGGGGGGGGGGGGGGGGTAGAGCGAGACAGAGAGATAGAGTGGAGAGGAAGAGGGGGGGAAATATACATTCTAATCAAAGAGCCAAATGTAGATTTGGTTTCATTTATTGACAGCTTCTAAACTCTTAACTTTTGCTTCACTTTCTCTTTCTTCAAATCTCCTTTTTATATTCCCCCTCTCCTCTCTTCCCCTCCTCCCCTCCCTCCCTCCCTCCCTCTCTCTCCCCCTCTCCTCTCTCCCCTCTCCTGCAACCCTCCCCTCCCTCCCCCTCCCTCCCTCCCCTCCCTCCCACCCCCCCCCTCCCCCCCCCCTCCCTCCCTCCCACCCCCTCTCTCCCCCTCTCCTCTCCCCTCCCTCCCTCTCTCTCTCTCTCTCTCTCCTTTCCCCCTCTCTCCCCTCCCTCTGTCTCCCCTCCCTCACCTCTCTCCCCTACCTCTCTCCTACCTCTCTCCCTCTCTCCCCTCTCTCCCCTCCCTCTCTCTCTCTCTCTCTCTCTCACCTGTAGAAGCTCCATCGCAGCAGGAAGAGCTTGGCAGCCTTGGGGAAGGCTGCAGGGCTGTGTTGGTAGGGCTTTAGGACCTGGGAGACCACGCCGTCCAACCAGGCAGCCCACTGCTCCAGAGAGTTATGTTGTTGTAACGTCTGCTTAAAGTCCTGCTCCAACCTCTGGACCACACCATCCTCACAACGACACACCCACGACGCCTGCTCCTAGAGGGGGGAAGAGAGGGAGGGAGGGAGGGAGGGAGGGAGGGGTTCAGACTTATAGGTTGGAGAGAGAGAGAGCAAGGTAGAGAGGAACAGATCTGTGCCTTGACAGACATGTAGACAGAGAGGGAGACAGAGAGAGGGAGACAGAGAGGGAGGTAGACAGAGAGGGAGGTAGACAGAGAGGGAGGTAGACAGAGAGGGAGGTAGACAGAGAGGGAGGGAGACAGAGAGAGGTAGACAGAGAGGTAGAGAGAGAGGCAGACAGAGAGGGAGGTAGAGAGAGAGAGAGAGAGCGTGAGAGAAGAGAGAAAGAGGTATTCAGATATATCAAGAGAGAATGAAACAGATAGACAGGCCTGTAGCTTGGTGAACTCCACCCTGTTGAGGTCACAGAGAGAGAGAGAGAGACAGAGCAAAAGACAGAGAGATCAATAGGTATCCAGACAGACGTACCTGTACGTTGGTGAAGTCAACCCTGTTGAGGTCACTCAGCATCTGATTGACCTGGGCTGTGTTCTGGAGGACGGCCCTGGCTGCCTGGGTCAGGTGGTTTAGACTGGTGTAGCGCCGCAGCGTCTGGGCAAACGCCCCCGCACACACCACCTGGAGGAGAGGAGAGGGGGAGGGGGAGACGGGAGAGGAGGGGAGAAAAGGGGAGGTTAGGGGGGAGAGGAAATGTAGTTTTGTGGAAGAGTGTTTGTATTGTGTGTGTGTGTGTGTGTGTGTTGTGTGCGAGATCACACCTTGATGCGGACCATCTCCTCTGGTATGTTCATCATGGCGCTGGTCAGCCAGCTCTCCAGACTCTTGGCAAAGTTACGGATGGCTTGAGTTAAGGCACCTGACAGAGAGAGAGAGAAAAATAAGGTAGTCATGTTTTAAAAGACATATTACATGTGTAGTTACTGTATGTACTGTCATTAATCCAGGCTCTGTCGCAGCCGGCCGCGACCGGGAGACTCATGGGCGGCGCACAATTGGCCTAGCGTCGTCCAGGGTAGGGGAGGGAATGGCAGGCAGGGATGTAGCTCAGTTGATAGAGCATGGCGTTCGCAACGCCAGCGTTGTGGGTTTGATTCCCACGGGGGGCCAGTATAAAAAAAAATATATATATATATATATGTATTCACTAACTGTAAGTCGCTCTGGATAAGAGCGTCTGCTAAATGACTAAAATGTAAATGTAATTAAATGTTATGTAGCTTTAATGTCATGTTATGTAGACCTATGTTGTGTTATGTCCATTTACATCATTTAGCAGACGCTCTTATCCAGAGCGACTTACAAATTGGTGCATTCAACTTATGATAGCCCTATGTCATGTTATGTAGCTCTAATGTCGTGTTATGTAGCTCTAATGTCGTGTTATGTAGCTCTAATGTCGTGGTATGTAGCTCTAATGTCATGTTATGTAGCTCTAATGTCATGTTATGTAGCTCTAATGTCATGTTATGTAGCTCTAATATCGTGTTATGTAGCTCTAATGTCATGTTATGTAGCCCTAATGTCATGTTATGTAGCTCTAATGTCGTGTTAAGTAGCTCTAATGTCGTGTTATGTAGCTCTAATGTCATGTTATGTAGCTCTAATGTCATGTTATGTAGCTCTAATGTCGTGTTATGTAGCTCTAATGTCGTGTTATGTAGCTCTAATGTCATGTTATGTAGCTCTAATGTTGTGTTACGTAGCTCTAATGTCGTGTTATGTAGCTCTAATGTCATGTTATGTAGCTCTAATGTCGTGTTATGTATCCCTATGTTGTGTTATGTAGCCCTATGTCATGTTATAGTGAGGGAAAAAAGTATTTGATCCCCTGCTGATTTTGTACATTTGCCCACTGACAAAGACATGATCAGTCTATAATTTTAACGGTAGGTTTATTTGAACAGTGAGAGACTTAAAAATCCAACAAAAAAATCCAGAAAAACGCATGTCAAAAATTTTATAAATTGATTTGCATTTTAAATGAGGGAAATAAGTATTTGACCCCTCTGCAAAACATGACTTAGTACTTGATGGCAAAACCCTTGTTGGCAATCACAGAGGTCAGACGTTTCTTGTAGTTGGCCACCAGGTTTGCACACATCTCAGGAGGGATTTTGTTCCACTCCTCTTTGCAGATCTTCTCCAAGTCATTAAGGTTTCGAGGCTGACGTTTGGCAACTCGAACCTTCAGCTCCCTCCACAGATTTTCTATGGGATTAAGGTCTGGAGACTGGCTAGGCCACTCCAGGACCTTAATGTGCTTCTTCTTGAGCCACTCCTTTGTTGCCTTGGCCGTGTGTTTTGGGTCATTGTCATGCTGGAATACACATCCACAACCCATTTTCAATGCCCTGGCTGAGGGAAGGAGGTTCTCACCCAAGATTTGACGGTACATGGCCCCGTCCATCGTCCCTTTGATGCGGTGAAGTTGTCCTGTCCCCTTAGCAGAAAAACACCCCCAAAGCATAATGTTTCCACCTCCATGTTTGACGGTGGGGATGGTGTTCTTGGGGTCATAGGCAGCATTCCTCCTCCTCCAAACTAGGCGAGTTAAGTTGATGCCAAAGAGCTCGATTTTGGTCTCATCTGACCACAACACTTTCACCCAGTTCTCCTCTGAATCATTCAGATGTTCATTGGCAAACTTCAGACGGCCCTGTATATGTGCTTTCTTGAGCAGAGGGACCTTGCGGGCGCTGCAGGATTTCAGTCCTTCACGGCGTAGTGTGTTACCAATTGTTTTCTTGGTGACTATGGTCCCAGCTACCTTGAGATCATTGACAAGATCCTCCCGTGTAGTTCTGGGCTGATTCCTCACCGTTCTCATGATCATTGCAACTCCACGAGGTGAGATCTTGTATGGCCCCGGGCCGAGGGGCTCCATTTGCGAATAATCGCACCAACTGTTGTCACCTTCTCACCAAGCTGCTTGGCGATGGTCTTGTAGCCCATTCCAGCCTTGTGTAGGTCTATAATCTTGTCCCTGACATCCTTGGAGAGCTCTTTGGTCTTGGCCATGGTGGAGAGTTTGGAATCTGATTGATTGATTGCTTCTGTGGACAGGTGTCTTTTATACAGGTAACAAACTGAGATTAGGAGCACTCCCTTTAAGAGTGTGCTCCTAATCTCAGCTCGTTACCTGTATAAAAGACACCTGTGAGCCAGAAATCTTTCTGATTGAGAGGGGGTGAAACACTTATTTCCCTCATTAAAATGCAAATCAATTTATACAATTTTTGACATGCGTTTATCTGGATTTTTGTTGTTGTTATTCTGTCTCTCACTGTTCAAATAAACCTACCATTAAAATTATAGACTGATCATTTATTTGTCAGTGGGCAAACGTACAAAATTAGCAGGGGATCAAATACTTTTTTCCCTCACTGTATGTAGCTCTAATGTCATGTTATGTAGCCCTATGTCATGTTACGTAGCTCTAATGTCATGTTATGTAGCTCTAATGTCATGTTATGTAGCTCTAATGTCATGTTATGTAGCTCTAATGTCATGTTACGTAGCTCTAATGTCGTGTTATGTAGCTCTAATGTCGTGTTATGTAGCTCTAATGTTGTGTTACGTAGCTCTAATGTCGTGTTATGTAGCTCTAATGTCGTGTTATGTAGCTCTAATGTCATGTTATGTAGCTCTAATGTCATGTTATGTAGCTCTAATATCGTGTTATGTAGCTCTAATGTCATGTTATGTAGCCCTAATGTCATGTTATGTAGCCCTATGTCATAACTCACTGGGGATGGGTCGTAGTACGTCAGGTATGAGGATCTCCACCAGGGCCTGGTACAGTGTGTTGTCACAGTCTCTGGTCCAGTGAAGAACAGGCTGGTACTTACACAGCACCACCAGGTACCACTTAGGTAGACGCTCCTCTGACTCACCATGACTGGAGACACACACACAATATTTGTTAGATTGCGTGTGTTATAATGTAATGTGTGACACGTAGAATGTGTGTGCGCGTGTGTGTTTCACTCACACGCTGAGTGTGTCTGCGTCGATGCTCTCGCTGAACCTCCAGAAGGTTTTCCACAGTGTCTCCACCAGAGTGAACTGCAGGTTCACCATCACATCGAGAATGGCCTGCACAGACATGACATAGCACTACGTGAGACTGACATAGCACTACGTGAGACTGACATAGCACTACGTGAGACTGACATAGCACTACGTGAGACTGACATAGCACTACGTGAGACTGACATAGCACTACGTAAGAATGATAAAACTCTACATTTGTCTGATATTACACTACATTAGACTGACATAACACACCTGTAGACTGACATAGTACTTTAACAGACATGAAAGATAGAAAGTCATAACACTACATTAGACTAACATAACATGACATTTGACCCACATAACTGGACATAGACCTACATTAGACAAAGCACTACATTAGACTAACATAAGACTACATTAGACAGACATAACACTACATTAGACTAACATAAGACTACATTAGACAGACATAACACTACATTAGACTGACATAAAACTACATTAGACTGACATAACACTACATTAGACAGACATAACACTACATTAGACTGACAAAGCACTACATTAGACAGACATAACACTACATTAGACTGACAAAGCACTACATTAGACTGACATAGCACTACATTAGACTGACATAAACACTACATTTTCATTACACTACAATAGACTAACACAGTGTTTCCCAATCCTGGTCCTGGAACTAACACACCTGATTCAACATCTCAACTCATCATCATTAACATTAGCTCAATCAAGACAGACATAGCCCTGCATAATATACACAACACTTCATAAGACTGACATAAGACTGACATAAGCCAGCAGTGCGTAGTAGAATGTATACCTCACAGTGTTCCCTGTAGAGCTGTTGGAAGGCTGTGATGTGTTCTGGAATGATCCCGTCTGGAAGAGGTCCGTCCTGCAGATCCAACTCTGGGAACTCAGGCAGCGCCCGTGACGCGTCTGGACAACAACAACAACATGTTTACATTGTTGTGTTATTATGTGTGGAATTATATGTTGATGATTTAACAATGTGTTTATATGTGTGCATCACATTGGTCAGTATGTTTCCTAGCTATGTTTAAGCCATTATTTACATACTGAGACAGTGTGTTACTACGGGTGGGTGTGTGTGTGTGTGTGTGTGTGTGTGTGCGCTAGGGATGCACATTTCGGTCAATTTAGCTGCCGACTAACTCTTTAACTGGTCAACAAACGGTAAACATTTTTCCAAACAGTAAAATGACATGACCAACAGAAAAGACTATGCATGCATACAAGGAACGGACATTTTTCATTAATGGAAACACGCAACAATAGCAAGCCTATAGTTTTACAGTCAAAAGGCTATAGCCTATTATTGAACATGCAACTCCTGTAACGAAGCAGTTAATAAAACGTCATTTTCTAACTTTTACAAAATGCAAATCGCGGGAAAACACAGTTCTAAACAGCGCACCTGATCCCAGAAGTTCCATATGTGACAGAGATTAAAATCTCAGTTAGAAATTTAGAATTAGGGGGAATCTAATAGCAACTAGGATGGGTTGCTAATATGACTAGGATGGTGCCTTGGACTTCTGGGCAACGAAAGAAAGTTGATGTGAAAACCAATAGAACAGGAGAGAAATGCTGGTTAATGGCATGAGGAAGTCTTTATAACAGTTTCTATCGATTCATTTAGTCAAGGCTACTTTGAAGCAAGTAAAGTAAAACAGGTTTCAAACAATTCTACTGCCAAGTGGTGGGTGACGCTGATAGCCTGCCTAGCGTTGACTAACGCCTATGCACTCAAGCTGATGCCGCCCTACGTTGACTAACGCCTATGCACTCCAAGTGGTGGGTGACGCTGATAGCCTGCCTAGTGTTGACTATCCAAGTGGTGGGTGACGCTGATAGCCTGCCTAGCGTTGACTAACGCCTATGCACTCGATTGGCGAATGGGAGGCGCGTTTTAATTACGACTTGAGATTGAGAAATAAAAAGTCGTTATTTTTAATCGTGGCCATCAATGTTTGTCACCTTCTCCACCAAGCTGCTTGGCGATGGTCTTGTAGCCCCATTCCATCCTTGTAGGTCTATAAATCTTGTCCCTGACATCCTTGGAGGCTCTTTTGGTCTTGCCATGGGTGGATAGTTTGGAAATCTGATTTGTTGATTGCCTTCTTCTAGTGGACAGGTGTCTTTTATACAGGTAACGAAACTGAGATTAGAGCCTCCCTTAAAGAGTGTGCTCCTAATCTCGCTCGGTACCTGTAAAAAGACACCTGGGACCAGCAATCTTTCTGAGAGAGTGGGTCAATACTTATTTCCCGCATTAAAATGCAAATCAATTATACAATTTTTGACATGCGTTATCTGGATTTTTTGTTGTTGTTATTCTGTCTCTCATTCACTGTTCAAATAAAACCTCCCATTAAAATTAAGACTGATCATTTATGTCAGCGCCAAACGTACAAATAGCAGGGATCAAACTTCGTTTCCCTACTTATGTAGCTCTAATTCATGTTATGTAGCCCTATGGTCATGTTTTACGTAGCTCTCTGTCATGTTATGTGCTCTAATTCATGTTATGTATGCGCTAATGTCCATGTATGTGCTCTAATGTCATGTTACGTAAGCTCTAATTTCGTTTGATAGAACTCGACTAAGTCGTTGTTATGTACTCGAATGTTTGTTACGTAGCTCTAAATGTCGTGTTATCAGCTCTAATGTCGTGTTATAGCTCTAATGTCATGTTATGTAAGCTCTAATGTCAGGTTATGTAGCTCTAATGTCATGCTTATGTAGCCCTAATTTCATGTTATTATCCCTAATTCTAACTCACTGGGGATGGTTTCGGTAGTCAGGTTGAGGGATCTCCACAGGGCCTGGTCCGTGTGTTGTCACGTCTCTGGTCCAGTGAATTAACATGCTGGTACTTCCAGCAACCACCATGTACCACTTAGGTAGAACGCTCGCTCTGACTCACCATAGACTGGAGACCACCACAATATTTGTTAGATTGCGTGATGTTTAATGTAATGTGTGACACTAGAATTTGTGTGCGCGTGTGTGTTTCACTCACACGCTGAAGTGTGTCTGCGTCGATGCCTCTCGCTGACCCTCCAGAAGGTTTTCCACAGTGTCTCCACCCGAGTGAAACTGCAGGTTCACCACACATCGAGAATGGCCTGCAAAGACTGACATAGCACTACGTTAAGACTGACCTAGCACTCGTTAGACCTGACATAGCACTACTTGAAGACTGACCTATCACTACTGATACTGACATAGCACTACTTAGACGACTAGCACTACGTAATAATGATAAAACTCTACATTTCTGATATTACCGACATTAGACTGACATACCACAACCTGTAGACTGACATAGACTACTTAACAGACATGAAAGATAAAAGTCATACACTACATAGCCTAACATAACATGACATTTGACCACATAACAACTGTACATAGCCTACATTAGACAAAGCACTACATTAGCTAACAATAAGACTAGAAACATTAGACAGACATAACCCTACATTAACTAACAGAAGACTTCATTAGACAGACATAACACTACATTAGACTGACTAAAACTACATTAGACTGACATAGCATTACATTAGACAAGACCTAACACTACATTAGACTGACAAAGCCGTACATTAGACAGACATCACACTACATAGACGACCAGCACTACATTAGACTGACATAGCACTCCTTAGACTGACCTAGCACTACATTAGAACTGACTAACCCTCTACATTTCATTACACTACATAGAATAACACAGTGTTTCCCATCCTGTTCCTGTAACTAACACACCTGATTTCAACTTCTCAACTCATCATCAGTAACTTAGCCTCATCAAGACAGACATAGCCCTGCTAATATACACAACACTTCATAAGACTGACATAAGTACGACATAAGCCACGTGCGTAGGAGAATGTATACCTCACAGTGGTCCATCCCTGTAAGCTGTTGGAGGGCTGTGATGGGGTTCTGGAATGATCCATCCCTCTGGAAGAGGTCCGTCTGGCAGAATCCAACTCTGGGACTCGGGCACCGCCCGTGACGCGTCCTGGACACCAACACAACAACAACAGTTTACATTGTTGTGTTATTATGTGTGTAATTATATGTTTGATGATTTAAAACAATGTGTTTATATGTGTGCATGGAAATTCCCCCTTGTTCATAATGTTTCCTAGGCTATGTTTAAGCGCATTTTACATCTGAGACGTGTGTTACTACTACGGTGTGTGTGGGTGTGTGTGTGTGTGCGCTATGGATGCACCTTTCGGTCAATTTTGCTGCCGACTAACTCTTTACTGGTCAACAAACGGTAAACATTTTTCCAACAGTAAAATGACATGACCAACGAAAAAGACTATGCATGCATACAAGGAACGGACTTTTTCATTAATGGAACACGCAACCATAGCAAGCCTATATTTACAGTCCAAAAGGCTAGAGCCTATTATTGAACATGCAACTCCTGTAACGAAGTCAGTTAAGAAAACGTCATTTTCAACTTTTACTCATGCAATTCGCGGGAAAAAAAAAAAAAAAAAAAAATAAGAACACCCCAAACACGCGCGCCCGACGCCCCCCCGAAAACAAAAGGAGGTTGAAAAGGGTGCCCCCCTCCCCGTGCCCCCACCCCCCGCCCGCCAAGCGACCCCCCCCACCCCCCGGCCGAGCCCCCCCCCCCCCGGAGTATGCCCCGGACACCCCACACGGGTAGAGGAGCCCAGACCGGGGCACGCCCCCCGGCCCACCCCCCCCCAGGGGCCAGGGGTCCCCCCCGCGGCCCCCTTGCCGACCCCCCCACCCCCACCCACGGCCTGGCGAATGAAAATAGATGACGAGCAGAATGGTCGCGTCAAGTGGCCTAGCAGCCCCGCAACCCCACGCCACCCACGAGAGGGACACAAGGCGCCCCTAGACCCACCAACCGGAGGCGGAGCAGACACCCCTCCCCGGGGTGAGGGCCGACCGGTCCCGGCCATCGGCAACCGCCGGCCGATCCATTCAGAGACGAAAGGGTGCTCTTAGCCAGGAAAAGAATAGAAGAGTCGTAACGCCCAACAATCGAACAGAAAAGGGAGGAGGCATGGAGTGAGGAGAAAAGGGAGGAGGGATATGGTTAGAGCGGGGCGATCGAGGAAAAGGATAGACAGGGGGGTTGAGGAGAGCGCAAGGTTAGAGTGGGGGAGACGGAAGCCCCCGCGATCTCCTAGCAACTCAGGAGGCAAATGTTAGGGAGATGGGGTAAACGGCAGGAATCGCCTCACACCAGAAGAAGGACAGCAGAGCGCCCCCAACGCGCGGTTTAAAGAATCGTTTTGAGGAGGGGCAGCATTGTGAGATGAAAAGATTGAGGGAAGACGAAGAGCTGGATTAGGAAAGGGGGGCACGTTTCTAACAGCGCACCTGATCCCGAAAGTTTCATTGTGACAGAGATTAAATCCAGTAAAATTTAGAATTAGGGTGAGATCTAATATCAACTAGGATGGGTTGCTAATATGACTAGGATGGTGCCTTGGACTTCTGGGGCACGAAAGAAAGTTTATGTGAACCCATAGAACAGGCGATAATGCTGGTTAATGGCATGAGGAAGTCTTTATAAACGTTTTCCTATGGATTCATTTAGTCAGGCTACTTTAAGCAAGTAAGTAAACAGGTTTCAAAACAATTCTATTTCTAAACTGCCCGTGGTGGGTGACGCTGATAGCCTGCCTAGTGTTTGACTATCCAAGTGGTGGGTGACTCTGATAGCCCTGCTACGTGACTAACGCCTATCACTCCAAGTGGGTGGGAACCCTGATAGCCTGCCTAGTGTTGTACTATCCAAGTGGTGGGTGACGCTGATAGCCTGCCTAGCGTTGACTAACGCCTATGCACTCGAATGGCGAATGGGAGGCGCGTTTTAATTACGACTTGAGATTGAGAAATAAAAAGTCGTTATTTTTAATCGTGGCCATCAAAACTGTTTTTAACACGAGATTGCATTTAGAATTGTTATTTGTTGCGCAATGACTGGGCTTTACAAAAGCACATTTCACCTCCAGTAACGGCAGCTTTTTAGGAGCTGCTCTTGCGTTGGCTGACAGGAGGGGTGACTGGCTATTCCCGCTCCTTGTGTTGGTGTTTGTGTGTGTGTGTGTGTGTGTGGTGTACCTAGTCCCTGTCCACTCACCCAGGAACTGCTGGTACTGCTGCACCTGAGCTGAGATGTCACTGAGCCCTGCCCCCTGCTGCTGCCCCGCCCCCAGAGACATCCCATTGGTCATGCCCTCCACCTTCTGCACCGGCTTTATCCTATTGGACAGAACAGCTGTCAGTCACACTACAGCGCCAATTATAGATAGAGATAGAGATAGAGAGAGAGAGAGAGAAGAGGAGAGCAATAGATACCAAACTGGAAGAAACACCCCCCTACCTGTGTTTCTGAGAGAAGGGTTGCTGTCTTATGGCTAGGTGCTGCTGGTCGTCTATCAGTCGGAGTAGAGAGGAGCTGGCCTTGATACGAAGACCATAGTAGTGGTACTTAGAGTTCCCTCTGACACACACAACACATCACAATTCATATTTATTGTGTTACATTCTCAATAAATGTATATTTACATAGAAGTTGCCACTGGCAGTAATTAACTGTGTGTTACATAGACGTGTGTGGTTCTAGAGATTTGTGTGTCTCTATCGACGTTGTGTTCTATAGACGGTGTGTGTTTTATATAGATTTGTGTTTTCTCTAAGACGTGTGTGTTATATAGACGTGTGTGTTTATAGGGTGTGTGCTTTCTGGATAACGTGTGTGTTATATAGATGGGTGTGTTATATAACGTGTGTGGTTATATGATTTTTGTGTTTTATATAGGTGTGTGTTATATAGGTGTGTGTTATATAGACGTGTGTGTTATATAGACGTGTGTGTTATATAGGTGTGTGTTATATAGACGTGTGTGTTTCTATAGACGTTGTGTTAATATAGAACGTGGTGTTATATAGACGTGTGTGTTATATAGACTGTGTGTTTTATAGACGTTTGTTATTATAGACTTAATGGTTGTTATATAGACTGTGTTTATATGATGTGTTTGTGTTATATAGATGTTTTTTGTGTGTGTGCTATAGACGTGTGTGTTATTAGACGTGGGTGTGTTTATATCGAGTTGTGTGGTTATATAATGTGTGTGTGTTATATAGACGTTTGTGTTTATAAAGACGTTGTGTGTTATATAGACCGTGGTGTTTGGTTTAATATCTTGTGTGTGTTATATAGATTGTGTGTTTTATATAGACGTGTGTGTTATATAACGTGTGTGTTATATAATGTGTGTTATAATAGGTTGTGTGTTATATAGACGTGTGTGTCTATCGCTGTGGTGGTGTTATAGCGATGTGTGTGTTTATAATAGGTGTGTTTATCTAGAGGTGTTGTTATCTAGACGTGTGTGTTATATAGGTGGTGTGTTCTATAGACGTGTGTGTTTATAGACGTTTTGTGTTTATATCGGTGTGTGTATCTATCACGTTTGTGTTATAATAGACTGTGTGTTATATCGACGTGTGTTTTATAGACTATATGTTATATCGACGGTTGTGTTATTAGAATGTGTGTGTGTTATATAGATGTTGTGGTTGGTTATATAGACGTGTGTGTTCTATATACGTGTGTGTTATATAGATTGTGTGTGGTTATATAGATGGTGTGTGTTATATAGACGTGTGTGTGTTCATAATATACGTGTGTGGGTTTATATAGAGTGTGTGTGTATATATACGTGTGTGTTATATAGACGTGTGTGTTTTATATAGACAGTTGTGTTATATAGACGTGTTGGTTATCTAGACGTTTGTTGTTTACTAGACGTGTGTGTTTTTTAATCGATTTGTGTTTATATAGACGTGTGGTGTTATATTTAGAACGTGTGTGTTTTATATCGATGTGTGTGTTTATAGACGTGTGTGTTACATAGACGTGTTTGTTATATATATGTGTGTGTTAGATACGTGTGTCTAAGACGTGTGTGTTATAGAACGTGTGTGTTATATAGACGTGGGTGTTATATAGAGTGTGTGTTAATATAGACGTTTTGTTACATAGACGTGTGTGTTACATAGACGTGTGTGTTATATAGATGTGTGGTTATAAGAGTGTGGTGTTATATAGATGTGTGTGTTATATAGACGTTTGTGTTTATATAGACGTGTGGTGTTCTATAGACCGTGTGTGTTATATAGATGTGTGGTGTTATATAACGTGTGGTGTTATATAGACGTTGGTTATTAGACGTGTGTGTTATATAATACGTGTGTGGTGTTTATATAGACGTGTGTTTTTATATAGACGTGTGTGTTGATATAGACGTGTGTGTTATATAAAACGGTGTGGTTATATAGAGTGTTGTGTTATATAGACGTGCTGTGTTATATGACGTGTGGTTATATAGACGTGTGTGTTTATATAGACGTGTGTGTGTGTTTAAATGACGTGTTGTGTTATATAGACGTGTGTGTGTTCATATACGTGTGTGTGTTATAGATTTGTGTTATATAGACGTGGTGTTTATATAGCGTGGTGTTTATATAGTTGTGTGTGTTATATAGATGTGTGTGTTATATAGACGTGTGTGTTATATAGATGTGTGTGTTATATAGACGTGTGTGTTATATAGATGTGTGTGTTTATATAGATGTGTGTGTGTTATATAGACGTGTGTGTTATATAGACGTGTGTGTGTTATATAGACGTGTGTGTGTTATATAGACGTGTGTGTTATATAGACGTGTGTGTTATATAGACGTGTGTGTTATATAGACGTTTTGTTATATAGGTTGTGTTATATAGACGTGTGTGTTATGAGACGTGTGTGTTATATAACTGTTATATAGACTTATGTGTTCTAAGCCGTGTGGTGTTATATAAGCTGTTTGTGTGTTTCATAGACTTTGTGTGTGTTATATAGACGTGTGTGTTATATAGACGTGTGTGTTTATATAGATGTGTGTGTGTTATATAGATGGTGTGTGTTATCTAGACTGTTGTTTATAGACGTGTGTGTGTTATAATAGACGGGTGTGTGTTATATAGAATGTTTGTGGTGTTATATAGATTTTGGTGGGTGTTATAGTAGACGTGTGTTTTATATAGACGTGTGTTTTATATACGTGTGTTTTTATATAGACGTGGTGTGTTACATAGACGTGTGTGTTATATAGATGTGTGTGTTATAATCGACGGTGTGTTATATAACGTGTGTGTTATATCTATGTGTTTGGTTTATAACGTGTGTGTTACATAGACGTGTGGTGTTATAGTAGATGTGTGTGTTATATAGACGTGTGTTTATAATAGACTGTGTGTTACTATAGACGTGGTGTTTATATAGATGTGTGGTGTGTTTTATAGACGTGTGGGTGTTATCTATAACGTGTGTGTGTTATAAGATGTGTGTGTTATATAGACGTGTTTTGTTATAATAGACGTGTGTGGTTATAATAGTTTGTGTGTTTTTATATAGATGTGTGTGTTTTAGACGTGTGTGTTCTATAGCGTGTGTGTTATATTAAAGTGTGTGTTATATAGATGTGTGTGTTTGTTTATATAAAAGATGTGTGTGGTTTCTATAGACGTGTGTGTATATAGACGTGTGTGTGTTCTATAGATGTGTGTGTTATATAGATTTGGTGTGTGTTTATAGATGTGTGTGTTATATAGACTGTGGTGTTATTGGACGTGTGTTGTATATAGATGTGTGTGTTATATAGGTGTGTGTGTTATATAGACGTGTGTGTTTATTAGATGTGTGGTGGTATTAGGTGTGTGTATATAGGTGTGTGTTCTATAGACGTGTGGTGTATATAACGTGTGTGTTATAATAGGTTGTGTTATATAGACGTTTGGTGTATATAGACGTGTGTGTTATATAGACTTTGGTGTTTTATATATGGTTGTGTGTGATATAGACGTTGTGGGTTATATAGACGTGTTTGTTATAGAGCCTTGTGTTTATATAGACGTATGTGTTATATAACGTGTGTGTTATATGATTTGGTGTGTGTTTTTATATTATGTGTGTGTGGGTTAGATAGACTGTGTGTTTATTATGACTGTGTGTTATATAGATTGTGTGTGTTAATGCTGTGTGTGTGTTATATAGACGTGTGGTGTTATATGACCGTGTGTGTTTATATAACTTGTGTGTGTTATATAGATGTGTGTGTGGTTTATAAGATGTTTGTGTGTTATATAGATGTTTGTGTTAATATAGACGTGTGTGTTATACTAGACGTGTGTTATATGACGTGTGTGTTATAAGACGGTGGTGGTATATATATAGACGTGTGTGTTACATAGACGTGTGTGTTATATAGATGTGTGGGTGTTCGAATAAGACGTGTGTGTTTATAGACGTGTGTGTGATAATAGATGTGTTGTTATATAGACGTGTGTGTTACATAGACGTGTGTGTTATATAAGAATGGTGTGTTATATAGACTGGTGTTATATAGACTGGTGGTGTTTATATAGACGGTGTGTTATATAGAGTGTGTGTTTAATAGACGTGTGTGGTTATATAAGACGTTTGTTGTTACATAGACGTGTGTGGTTACATATACGTGTGGTTATATAGATGGTGTGTGTTATATTAGACGTGTGTGTTATATAGGACGTGTGTGTTATATAGACTGTGTGTTATATAGACGTGTGGTTTTATATAGACGTGTGGTTAATAGAATTGTGTGGTTATATAGACGTGTTGTGTTTTTTATATAGACGGTGTGTTATATAGACGTGTGTGTATTAGACTGTGTGTTATAGGACTGTGTGTGTTATATAGACTGTTGTGTTTATATAGACGTGTGTGTGTTATAGATGTGTGTGGTTAATAGACGTGTGTTGTTTCTATGACGTTGTGTATATAGTTGTGTGTGTTTTATCGATGTGTGTGTTATCTAGACGTGTGTGTCTATAGACGTGTGTGTTATCTAATGTGTTTGTTAATATAGACGTGTTTGTTATATAGACGTGTGTGTTATATAGACGTGTGGTTTTTATTCGACTGTGGGTTATATAGACGTGTGTGTGTTATTAGATGTGTGTGTTAATAGAGTTGGTGTTTATCGACTGTGGTGTTATATAGACGTGTGTGTGTTATATAGACGTGTGTGGGTTATAGAGTTTGTGTTATATAGACGTGTGTGTTATATAGACGTGTGTGTTATATAGATGTGTGTGTTATATAGACGTGTGTGTTATATAGACGTGTGTGTTATATAGACGTGTGTATGTTATATAGACGTGTGTGTGTTATATAGACGGTGTGTGTTATATAGAGACGTGTGGTGGTGTTATATGTAGACGTGTGTGTTAATATACTTGTTGTGTTATATAGACGTGTGTGTTTATATAGACGTGTGTGTTATCTATTGTGTGTGTTATATTAGACGTGTGTGTTATATAGACGTGGTGTGTTATATTAGACGTGTGTGTTATATAGTTGTGGTGGGTTATATAGACGTGTGTGTTTAGTAGACTTGTGTTTCTATAGACTTGTGGTGTGGTATATAGACGTTTGTGTTCTATAGAAGTGTTGGTGGGTGTTATATAGACGTGTGTGTTTTATATAGACGTGATGTGTTATAGAGACCGTGTGTGTTATATAGACTTGGTGTTATATAGACGTGTGTGTTATATAGACCGTGTGGTGTGGTTTATATAGATTTTGTGGTTAATATAGACTTGTGTGTTATATAGACGTGTGTGTTAGAGAAGACGTGTGTTGTTATATAACGTTGTGTTTATATAGACGTGTGTGTTATATAGATGTGTGTGTGTATATAGATGTGTGTGTGTTATATAGATGTGTGTGTGTTATATAGATGTGTGTGTGTTATATAGATGTGTGTGTTATATAGATGGGCTGTGGTTATAAATAGACTTGTGTTGTTATATAGATGTGTGTGTTTATATAGATGTGTGTGTTTATATAGACGTGTGTGTTTATAATAGATGTGTGTGTTGAATATAGGTGTGTGTTATTTAGACGTGGGTGTTATATAGACGTGTGTGTTGTTTATAGACGTGGTGTGTTTATAAGCCGTTTGTGTTTATAATAGACGTTGGTGTGTTATATAGACGTGTTGTGTTATATTAGACGTGTTGTGTTATATAGCCGTGTGGTGTTATATTAACTTGTGTTATATAGACTGTGTGTGTTATATAGACGTGTGTGGTGTTATATAGACTGTGTGTTTATAATGTGTTTTGTGTTATATAGACGGTGTTGTGATAATATACGTGTGTGTTTTAATAGTTGTGTGGTGTTTATAGATGTGTGTGTTCTATATAGGTGTGTTGTTTCTATAGAACGTGTGTGGTTATATAGACTGTGTGTTAAAATAGACGTGTGTGTGTTATTAGACCGTGTGGGTGTTATATATAGTGTGTGTGTTTAGAGGTGTTGTTATAATGACGTGCTGGGTTATAGACGTGTGTGTTATATATATGTGTGTTTTATAAGACTGTGTGTTATAGACGTGTGTGTTATCTAGACTGTTGGGTGTTATATAGACGTGTGTGTTATATAGACGTGTGTGTTATATAGACGTGTGTGTTATATAGACGTGTGTGTTATATAGACGTGTGTGTGTTATATAGACTGTGTGTGTTATATAGACGTGTGTGTTATATAGACGTGTGTGTTATATAGACGTGTGTGTTATATAGATGTGTGTGTTATATAGACGTGTGTGTTTTATGACGTGTGGGTGTTTATATAGAACGTGTGTGTATATAGTTTGTGGATTATATCAGACGTGTGGGGTGTTATATTAGACGGTGTGTGTTATATAGATTGTGTGTGTTAATTACGTGTGTTTTATATAGACGTGTGTGTTATATCGACTTGGTGTGTGTTATATAGACGGGTGTGTGTTATTATACGTGTGTGTTATATATACGTGGTGGGGTTTATAGACTGTGTTGTTTATATGACGTGTGTGGTTAATAAGCCTGTGTTGTGTTATATAGACGTGGTGGTTTTATATAGACGTGTGTGTTATATAGACGTTGTGTGGTTATATATACGTGTGTGGGTTTTATATAGACGTGTGTGTTATAAGACGTTTGTGTTATATAGATGTTGTGTGTTATATAGATTGTGTGTGTTATATATATTGTGGTGTTGTTATATAGATGTGTTTGTTTATTAAGATTGTGTGTGTGTTATATAGACGTGTGTGTTATATAGACGTGTGTGTTATATAGATGTGTGTGTTATATAGATGTGTGTGTGTTATATAGACGTGTGTGTTATATAGATGTGTGTGTTATATAGGTGTGTGTTATATAGACGTGTGTGTTATATAGACGTGTGTGTTATATAGACGTGTGTGTTTATATCGACTTGGTGGTTTATAGACGTTTTTGTTATATAGATGTTGTGTTAATAGGTGTGTGTTTTTATCTAGACGGTTGTGTTATAATAGACGTTTGTGTTAATAGACGTGTGGTGTTATATAAGACTGCTGTGGTATATAGACGTGTGTGTTATATAGACGTGTGTGTTATATAGACGTGTGTGTTATATAGACGTGTTTGTTTATATATACTGTGTGTTGATTAGACTGTGTGTTATATAGACGGGTGGTGTTAATATAGACTTGTGGTGTGTTTATATGATGGTGTGTGGTTATATAGAGTTTGTGTTTATATAGCGTGTGTGTATTTATAACCTGTGTTTATATATGACGTTGTGTGTATTATATAGACGTGTTGTGTTTATAGATGTGTGGTGTTCTATAGACGTGTTGGTGGTTATATATGTGTGTGTATTATCGACGTGTGTGTTTATATAGACGTGTGTGTTATTAGACCGTGTGGTGTTATAATACGTGTGTTTTTATCTACGTGTGTGTGTTTATATAGACGTGTGTGTTATATAGACGTGTGTGTTATATAGACGTGTGTGTTATATAGACGTGTGTGTTATATAGATGTGTGTGTTATATAGATGTGTGTGTTATATAGACGTGTGTGTTATATAGATGTGTGTGTTATATAGACTGTGTTTGTTATATATAGACGTGTGTGTTATATAGATGTGTGTGTTATATAGACTGTTTGTGGTTATATAGCTGTGGTGTGTTATATAGACTGTGTGGTGTTTATATAGATGTGGTGTGTTTAATAAGACGTGTGTGTGTTTATATAGACGTGTGGGTTATCTGAGCGTGTGGTGTTTATATAGACTGGTGTTTATATAGACGGTGTGTTATATAGATTGTGGTGTTATATAACGTGTGTGTTATATAGACGTGTGTGTTATATAGATGTGTGTGTTTATATAGACGTGTGTGTGTTATATAGACGTGTGTGGTTATATAGACGTGTGTGTTATATAGATGTGTGTGTTATATAGACGTGTGTATATATCTGTACTGTACATACCGTGTGCCCAGGCGTCTTGTCCTCAGCCCCATGAAGACAGATCTGATGAGCTTGCCGAAGGAGGCAGCGTTGACAGGTTCTAGTTTGTGTTCCTGACAGTGTAAGAGGTAGTGGCAGTAGAGGGTACAGCGAGGCAGACTGACCCCCTCAGCACCCTAAGTTGATCTAGCAGCACTTACCTGGAGGGGGGGGGGGGGGGGTGGGGCGGGGGGGGGGGGGGGGGGGGGGATTTTTTTTTTGTTTTTTTTTTCTTCCCTTTCCTCCTTTCTTTCCGGTCTTTCCCTCTCTCCTCTCGCCGCTCATATATGATATCGATCTATAGAGGCGACGAGAATAGATCTCCTCGCGCTTAGAGCTATATCTCATCTATGAAAGACTAATTGCATCATTCCAACTCCACATGCATCCTAGTAGTGTTGTTTTTACTTTTTTATGAACCAGACACACACCCGCCCTACTCACTTTTGCAGTGCTGCTCTGGTGTTTGTGGACTGGATATGTTCCTCCTTCGCTGCCCCCCCCTCCCAATACGTACCCGCCCTGGGTGACGTAAACCACTTCCAACCCTCCCTACTCCTCCGTGCCGCGGTTTATGGAGACTGCTTGTGAGGTCACTGAGTTAGTGACCTGTGACCCCCCCGAGGTGGGCGGGCTTCGTAGTAGGAAGAGGAGGAAGAGGGAGGGGTCTGGGAGTAGAGGGGGGAGTCGGAAGATACGGGTAGCTGCCAAACGACTGGAGGGAGGGATAGAGGGAGAGAGGGATAAGGGATAGAGGGAGAGAGGGAGAGAGTGGGCGAGGAGGGAGAGATGGATAAAGAGGGAGATGAGGGATAGCGGGCATGGATGGCTAAATTGCGAGAGGAGGGCGTGATAGAGTGTGCAGGGAGGAGACGAGGGATTGTGCAGGGTAAGCGGGATCGATGGATATGCGGTGTCGCGCTGTCTCTCCTGTCGTAGGGCATCGAGGGCAGGGAGGATATATGCTCGCGTCTCTAGTGAGAGAGTGACGAGCGGGATCGCGTTCGAGCGGGATCTCGGAGCCTGGCTAGAGGGCGAGATGTATCGTAGTGGCTGGGGGGATGGCGAGAGAGAGTGAGGAGTGAAATGTGCTCGCGTTCTGTGAGCAAAAATACCCCTCTCCTGGTATTACCGTGTTGTTTTTTTTTTGTTTGTTTGTTTGTTGTGTTTGTTTGTTTGTGTGTGTTTTTTTTGTTTTTTTTTCTTTTTGTTTTTGTTTTTGTTTTGTGTGTTTCTTGTTTGGTTGTTGTGTTTTTTGTTTTGTGTTGTTGTCATTTCTTTTTGTTTTTTTTTTTTTTTATTTGTTTTTGTCTGTGTGTTTTTTTTTGTTTTTTTGTTTGTTTATTTTTTTGTGTGTCTGTGTGTGTGTGTGTGTGTTTGTGTGTGTTGGTTTGTGATGTGGATGTGTGTCTGGGTGTGTCCTTTTTGTGTTTGTTTGTGTTTGTGTCGTCCCTCCTCCCCTGGTCGCGCGGCGAGTGGTAGTCCTCCTCTTCTTCTCCCCCTCCCATCCCTGCCCTGCCTTCTTCCCCCTTACTTCTGCTGCACCCAGGGAGAGACAAAGAAGTAACATCTTTCAGGTTCATTTCGCTCAGGCGACTTCAAATGAACACACCACAAGGAACCACATCTCCTCTCTTTTACGAACGTCGCCCCATCACTCTCCACAACACCCCTTCCTCCTCCCCCAACGAGTCTCCCTCCGCCAAGCCGCCCCACCCTCCCTCCTTCCCACCCTCCCTCCCTCCCTCCCCCCCTGCCCTCCCTCCTCCATTATTTGATGTGTCTGTCCGATTGTGTCTTGTGTGTGTGTGGTTTGTGGTGTTGGTGGGTTGGTGTGTCAGTGTGTGTATGAGCGAGTGTGTGTGTGTCTGTAGCGTACCTGTTGGGTGGTCTGCTGTACTACCTGGGTGGGGACCCCTGTCTGAAACACAGCTACTGGAGGACTGGACTCTGATACACTGTCACTAGAATGGAGAGAACCCTCTATGGAGAGAAGAGAGAGATAGAGTAGAGGAAGAGGTGGCGGGGAGAGAGAGATAGTATAGTATAGATAGATAGATAGAGAGAGACATAGGTTGGTTGAAGAGATCGATAGAGTATAGCTATGAGAGAGAGAGAGAGAGAGAGCTGAGATAGATAGATAGAGATAAAGAAATACTAGAGAGAGAGAAAGAGTTTGTGTTGCGGGACGAGAGAGAGAGATAGAAGAGAGAGAGAGATATATATAGAGAATTACAGAGAATCGTCCCTATCCCTAGACCGATACCCTATAGAGAGTATAGATCATCTCCCTTTTAGCCTTCTGTCAGCGTTTGCATTATCACTCGCTACAATATCCCCTCTCCTATGCTACCCTTCCTCCCCTATACCTCCTCCCCAACCTCCCCCTCCTTCCCCCCTGCCCCATCTCTTTCCTTCCTCCCCCGATAACTCTGTTCTCCAAACTAATAAACAGCAGTTACTGTAGAACATAGCTCTTAGGACAGACGGAGAGAGAGATGGAAAGATGAAGAGAGGACAGAGGGCTGGCCATCTCTCCCCTCCATCCTTATATGATGCAGGCAGGGGGAGGCCTTGGACAGTTAATCTCCCTAGATGGAGGGAACAATCCCCCCATCATATAAACACAGGTATCAGGTGAGGAGATAGTGGGAGGGATGGAAGAGAGGGAGGGTGGACAGAGCAAAATGTTGACTTTTGTGATTTATTACTGTTCATATATTTGGTGATCCCTCCACTCTACTCTTCCTGTCACTGTCTTTTCCCCATCTCTATCTACATGTTACTAGTGCGTGATGAATACTGAGAGAGAGAGAGAGAGTTGTATCTCTGGTCCCAGTGTGGTCTGTCTCTGTGTTGCTGGAGGTGGACCAGGCCAGACCAGGTGGACACTATAGTGTGTGTCTGTCTCTGTGGTGTTGAGTAGTGGACCAGGCCAGACCAGGTGACACTAGCGTGTGTCGGTCTCTGTGGTGTGAGTGGACCAGGCCAGACCAGGTGACACTAGTGTGTGTCGGTCTCTGTGGTGTGAGTGGACCAGGCCAGACCAGGTGACACTAGCGTGTGTCGGTCTCTGTGGTGTGAGTGGAGCAGGCCAGGCCAGGTGACACTAGTGTGTGTCTGTCTCTGTGGTGTGAGTGGAGCAGGCCAGGCCAGGTGACACTAGTGTGTCTGTCTCTGTGGTGTGAGTGGAGCAGGCCAGGCCAGCCGACACCAGTGTGTCTGTCTCTGTGGTGTGAGTGGAGCAGGCCAGGCCAGGTGACACCAGTGTGTCTGTCTCTGTGGTGTGAGTGGAGCAGGCCAGGCCAGGTGACACCAGTGTGTCTGTCTCTGTGGTGTGAGTGGAACAGGCCAGGCCAGGCGACACCAGTGTGTCTGTCTCTGTGGTGTGAGTGCAGCAGGCCAGGCCAGGTGACACCAGTGTGTCTGTCTCCGTGGTGTGAGTGCAGCAGGCCAGGTGACACTAGTGTGTGTCTGTATCTGTGGTGTGAGTGGAGCAGGCCAGGCCAGGGGACATCAGTGTGTCTGTCTCTGTGGTGTGAGTGCAGCAGGCCAGGTGACACTAGTGTCTGTCTGTCTCTGTGGTGTGAGTAGAGCAGGCCAGGCCAGGTGACACTAGTGTGTGTCTGTCTCTGTGGTGTGAGTGGAACAGGCCTGGCCAGGTGACACCAGTGTGTCTATCTCTGTGGTGTGAGTGGAGCAGGCCAGGCCTGGTGACACTAGTGTGTGTCTGTCTCTGTGGTGTGAGTGGAACAGGCCAGTGTGTCTGTCTCTGTGGTGTGAGTAGAGCAGGCCAGGCCAGGTGACACTAGTGTGTCTGTCTCTGTGGTGTGAGTGCAGCAGGCCAGGCCAGGCGACACTAGTGTGTCTGTCTCTGTGGTGTGAGTGGAGCAGGCCAGGCCAGGCGACACTAGTGTGTCTGTCTCTGTGGTGTGAGTAAAGCAGGCCAGGCCAGTTGACACCAGTGTGTCTGTCTCTGTGGTGTGAGTAGAACAGGCCAGGCCAGGCCAGGTGACACCAGTGTGTCTGTCTCTGTGGTGTGAGTGCAGCAGGCCAGGCCAGGTGACACCAGTGTGTCTGTCTCTGTGGTGTGAGTGCAGCAGGCCAGGCCAGGCGACACTAGTGTGTCTGTCTCTGTGGTGTGAGTAAAGCAGGCCAGGCCAGGTGACACCAGTGTGTCTGTCTCTGTGGTGTGAGTAAAGCAGGCCAGGCCAGGTGACACTAGTGTGTGTCGGTCTCTGTGGTGTGAGTGAACAGGCCAGGCCAGGTGACACCAGTGTGTGTCTGTCTCTGTGGTGTGAGTGCAGCAGGCCAGGCCAGGCGACACCAGTGTGTGTCTGTCTCTGTGGTGTGAGTCCAGCAGGCCAGGCCAGGTGACACCAGTGTGTGTCTGTCTCTGTGGTGTGAGTGGACCAGGCCAGGCCAGGTGACACCAGTGTGTGTGTCTCTGTGGTGTGAGTGGAGCAGGCCAGGCCAGGTGACACTAGTGTGTGTCTGTCTCTGTGGTGTGAGTGGACCAGGCCAGGCCAGGGGACACCAGTGTGTGTCTGTCTCTGTGGTGTGAGTCCAGCAGACCAGGCCAGGTGACACCAGTGTGTGTCGGTCTCTGTGGTGTGAGTGGACCAGGCCAGACCAGGTGACACTAGTGTGTGTCTGTCTCTGTGGTGTGAGTAGAGCAGGCCAGACCAGGTGACACTAGTGTGTGTCGGTCTCTGTGGTGTGAGTAGACCAGGCCAGACCAGGTGACACTAGTGTGTGTCGGTCTCTGTGGTGTGAGTGAGGCAGGCCAGGCCAGGTGACACCAGTGTGTGTCTGTCTCTGTGGTGTGAGTGGGGCAGGCCAGGCCAGGTGACACCAGTGTGTCTGTCTCTGTGGTGTGAGTGGAGCAGGCCAGGCCAGGTGACACCAGTGTGTGTCTGTCTCTGTGGTGTGAGTGGGGCAGGCCAGGCCAGGTGACACCAGTGTGTGTCTGTCTCTGTGGTGTGAGTGCAGCAGGCCAGGCCAGGGGACACCAGTGTGTGTCTGTCTCTGTGGTGTGAGTGGACCAGGCCAGGCCAGGGGACACCAGTGTTACCTGATACTAACACCCTGGCAGGCTGACAGGCTAGCTGCTGCTCTACTAATAGACACCCTGCAAATAAACCCCACACAGTATGTCTGTTAACTACTCTGTCAACTTTACAGTACACTGTGGGACTACAATGGAAATACGTTGTTAAAACGTTATTGTGTTGTCCTCGATGATTTTAAATGCACATCCATGTGTGTGGTGGAATTGTGTTTTTAAATAAATAAATAAAATCGTACACAAACGTCCTGTCCCAAAGACTGTTAGGTAGCGTACAGGCCTACTGATGGTAGGTAGTAGAATAATCTCTAGTGGACAGAACTTTAATCGAGCATCTGACGTAAACAAGATTTTTGTTCTGAGTTTCCGAGATTAGTAGTAGAAAGGTTTGCCATATGCCAGTATTTCACTCCTACAGCACAGTTAGCCTGGCGGGTAGGAGCGTTGGGCCAGTAACCGAAAGGTTGCTGGATCGAATCCCCGAGCTGACAAGGTAAAAACCCACTGTTCCCCGGGCGCCGATGACGTGGATGTCGATTAAGGAAGCCCCCTGCACCTCTCTGATTCAGAGGGGTTGGGTTAAATGCGGAAGACACATTTCAGTTGAATGCATTCAGTACAACTGACTTGGTATTCCCCTTTCCTTAAAGGTGGACCAGTTGGCATGACACTGTGGCCCAAGGGTTGTGGGTTCAAAGCCCGCTGGGGCCACTAAAATGTCTCTGTTGCTTTTAATTAAAGTGTCTGCTAAATGGCCTAATACAGGTTCAATTACAATGGTGTTTTTAGGTTTCCATTGGGTTAGTAAAACAGGCCAACCCGGACCTCAGAGAGCCTGTCCTACAGGTCTGGTAGATAACCATGGTAACAGTTGTCAGGAGAGGAAGGTGTGGCTATGGTAGAATAGACATGTTTCATCATGTCAACTACACACATCTGAAAGAGAGAGAGAGAGAGAGGAGAGAGAGAGAGAGAGAGAGAGAGAGAGCGTGTTTACGCCTCACCTGTAACGGTTACTACGATGTACTGTGGTGTGGAACTCTGTCCGTTACTATGCTGAGTGGCAGAACTCTGGATCTCCGTGGTAACAAACTGAGTCTGAGAAGGCGTGGCCAGAACCACTGTCTTCTGGTTCTGGGCCTTGGTGGGCGTGGTTTGAGCAGGAGGTTTGTCCTGTCCGGTTGTGGAGACGATGGACACTGACTGGTTGAACTGGGTTGGCGTGGAGCGGGAGGGCGTGGCTGATTGTGTTGCTATGGTGACAGCGTTGCGCTGGGGGGCCGGCTGGAGCTCTTCTGTGTAGCCTGGGGTCGCCATGACTACCGCCACAGCTGGACCAAGACCACCACTCTGGGGGAAGGACAAGGGAAGGAGTTGGTTATGACACACACAGATACAATGTGTAGACTTGAGTCACCACACTCTCTAAACCTTTCTCAACACACTTCAGGCCACCTCTTGTGAAAGCACACTGAGAAAGGTGGACAGAAACCAGGGCGGAAGTGAGTCTTTTGTCTGAGGCTGAGAGGCACACTAAGTTTATTCCTGTTGGATGCAAGTCTTGGGACGTCTGGGTAGCCCCCCGGGTGCACGTTTAGTTTTTTTGCTCTAGCACTAAACAGCGGATTCAAATGATCAAAGCTTGATGATGAGTTGGTTATTTGAATCAGCTGTGTAGTGCTAGGGCAAAAAACTAAATGTGCACACAGGGGGGGCCCAGGACAGAGTTTGGGAAACCCTGATCTAAAGCACTGAGATGTGGGTGGTGTGAGCTCTGACAAATTATTATAATATTTATATTCCATTCAATTATTGCATGTAGGCCCTTTAACTATGCTATACATTTGATAATGACAAGTTTTCACTAGTAGAATATGCCACGTGAGGATTTCTGAACTGTGTAGCACACACGAACACACACACTGCACCCTCCCCAACGTTTTCTGATAGCAACAGCACACAGAAAACGCACCTTGCCCCTTCTCTCCACGCATATCATATCATATTTTATCCAGTTGCCATTGCCAGTTGCCATTGGTGTAAGCTTCTAAATATTGCTTCTCCATTGGCTTCAGGTCATGTCAATCCCACCGATAGGCTCATCCACCCCTTGAAGCCACCCTCCCTCCCTGCGTGACAGCCACGGCGAGGCCAGCAGAGCATATGATCTGGCACACATTGCACAGTACGGGGCCGGACGACCACTTTTACTAGAAAGAAAACTTTTTCAGAGATATAAAATAACGATCAACATGATGACACATTCGTTTACACATACTGACCCTTATGTCTGTTTTGCAATTAGATAAAAAGAGTTCGAAAATCAAAATTAATTTCCTAAGCAAAAGTATCCGTGAACATGCGACAAGTATGCCTCTTTCGTGAAGTTTAAGAATTATTTTTCATGTTAAAAGCTTTGTCAACAAACATTTCCACAACTAAAAGTACAAGATTCTCATATTACAACACCCGCCATTTTGTACTCCTATCACAGATTTGACATCGTCATAACAACCGTCTGCGTTTGGAAAGCGGTTAGCAACTAGCTGGGACCACTACTATTCCATCTCTGCCACACTATTGCCTTTTAATGCTAGATAAAAGCAATAAAACGTTATACATCTTCACAAAATTATTCAGAGATAAACATCAGACGACGGTTTAATAATGGTGTTGCTTATTCACCTCAAATTCCCCCTGGAATATTCCTGGTTTTGGCGTTAAAGTTTGTTTCTTAATGATACTGGTTGTGGTTGTTGTTGTTGTTGTTGATTCTCGTTGCTTGGTTCTTGTCGCCACGACTACCGTGACTATGGCGCCTCGTCCTCACCCGGGCAACTGTTGCTACCCACCCTTTTTCACCCCGCCCTCTTCTTAACTTTGATTGGATCATTTTGGGGCGAAGTCAATCGTTTGTCTTCATGTCATTGGAGCATTTTTATGTCAATAATTTCTCTGTCAACCGATTGGCTGTCAATCTCTGTTCACTAAAAGTCACTAACCACTAAAAGTAATAGGAAAACACCCTGGTTCTCCCATTTCCTCGGGGTAATGGCTAGAAGGTATCCAGCTTTTGTCAAAATAACGTCAGATTTGACTTTTCGTAGCAGGTTAGGAGAATTTACGCAGCAGGTTAGGAAAATTAACGTATCAGGTTAGGAGAATTAGGTTAAGGTTAGAAAAGGGGTTAGGGTTAGCTAAAATGCAACAAAATAAAAACTACTTTTCACGTTAATTTGACAAAAGCTGGATCCCTTCTAGCATGACCCTGGTTCTCGTAGTGGTTGGATGACATTGCTGTCAGTCAAATTATTCCAATCAATTGATTATTGCTCTACATTTACAACTTATCCATTTATCATATGCATTAGGGGTTCTCAAAGTGAGGGGTCCACAGAGGTACTACAGGGGGTCCACGGCCAGATCTCAAAATATGTTTTTAAAAAACAAACCAATTAATAATAATGATAAATAAAATGCACTGTAATTTATGCTTTAAAACTGAAAGGTTTTCTCTGCCTCATGGGAAAATGTGTAGAATTGCAGGATATTAGCTTTAAAGCTGCAGCAACCAAAAATATCTCTGCCCCATGACAAACTATGTGTAGAATTGCAGGAAATTAGCTTAAATTGCACTATAAAAATCTCCCATGCCAAGAGGCGGGCCTTTTAAATATTTTTTCCCAGGGCCCGAGACTTGGTTCGTCCAGCCATGCAGGCAGCAGACATCAGAGTAAAACTCCTTGTAGGCTGTTTTTATTACATTTACATTTACATTTTTTTTAGTCATTTAGCAGACGCTCTTATCCAGAGCGACTTACAGGAGCAATTAGGGTTAAGTGCCTTGCTCAAGGGCACATCGACAGATTTTTCACCTAGTCGGCTCGGGGATTAGAACCAGCGACCTTTCGGTTACTGGCACTATGCTCTTAACCACTAAGCTACCTGCCGCCCTAAACCCACACACACAACATATGTTTTACTATCCTTGTTGGGCCATAAAATTAATTTCCATTAAAAATCATATTTTCCCTTACCCCCAGGTTTCCATTGACCCAGATTTATTCGACAAAAGCAATGTCGCCAAAAAAATCGTTGCGAAATGTGTGATGGAAATGTCAGATGTAGTGTAGGAGACATTTTCTAAAGATCGAATACATTTGTATCCATTTGACAGAGGTGGACTTTTCTTTTGTCTAACTTTCATTATCGCGACAAACGATGACGGAAACAGTGTTTCTCGAATAAATTATGATTGCCGAATAATTTTGAAGGTAAGCGGTGCATGTCATGTTATTAACTATAAAGCTCCACTCCACATTAAATTATAATGCCTAGGCCTACCGCTTGCAAAATCAATTTATTCAACAATAAAAATAATGTTTCTTTGCAGGACAAGGATTGTCTTGACTTTCAAGAATGCCTGCAATTTGAAATTTCACCATCAAATTGTTTCAGATCATCTAGGCCTGCTTGAGTGCAAATTACACCATGGCACGGACCATGGTGGCGATAAGTAGGCACATGAGAATTATTAGAATATGGCAAATATTAGTCAATTCTTGCATTCTATCCATGCTGGCTTTTGCGGGCTACCTGAGATATAAAGGATAGGTGGGCAGGTCATACAGGCTGTCGCGACTTTATTCATGCACAATTTGCCTAATAGGATCATGGAAACACTTCAACCACATCAATGTGTGTTTTTTAAGGTGTGACATCATTACGTCCAGCTGTTTTTATCGACACAAGACAGTTCAATAAAACCGCATCGTGGCAGGCAATTGTCGCCTCTACTTTCTATGCTAACTTTTTAAATGTCGACAAAAATTCACTGGACAAGTTAATGGAAACATAGCTACTGTCTCCTTATCCATCCATGTCACAAGACTCACAACTCATACCCTATAGGATAGACATGGGGAGTTGAGTGAAGGGCAGTGTGTGTGTATTATTGCCTGTGCGTGCGTGTGCTTGTTTACCTGCGTGTGTGTCTTTGCGCGCACGCGCCCCCGTGTGTCTGTATTAGTGCGTGTGTGTGTGTAGGTCTACCTTCTTGTTAATTTAAAACCTGAACCAATAGCGATCCTATCCCTAGCCAGACACGATAGATAGCAGGTTCCGAAGTGATGACACTGGAAGCAACCAGGAAACACTGAAAGGTCGCTGGCGATTAGATTAAAGACTAAACCTCTGACATTACTTTTTAACCAGGCACACCGTTTTAATCACAACCTCTCTTATTGGGCCCATTGTTCTCCTAAAGGTCTCAGGTCTTAGTAACTTCTTATCTGGCTGTACTCTGAGGCACAGGGGATGAGAGAGAGAGAGTGGGGAGACTTGGTCATAGTCAGGGTGCACCCCAAGTGGAACCCTATTCCCTGTATAGTGCACTACATTTGACAAGAGCCCATAGGAAATCCAATTGGCTCTGTTCAGAAGTTGTACACTACATAGAGAATAGGTTTCCATAGGACGCATGCAGCCTCAGTCAGCGTTGCTGGGCTGGGCTCACTATAAAAGGGGTACTGGGTCCGCCAAGAGAACCACACAACACCACCGGGTGAGAGCGAAGGAGACACCGACAGAGACTCACCAAACCAAGACTCACCCAACCTTCACCAGACCACTGATCCACACCTGCAGCCGGGCTATCACTTTCAAGGCTCTTGACTCCTCTTTCTTCTCTCTCTCCATCTGTCGTTCCTGATCATGTGGAAGGCTGCAGTGTTGACGTTTGGCCTGTTGGTAGCACTGGTGGGTAAGGTGCAGGCTGCAGAGGGCCACGCTAACTCTATCTACGGGGTGAAGCTGTGCGGGAGAGAATTTATACGGGCCGTCATCTTCACCTGCGGAGGCTCGCGTTGGAGGAGAGGAGTGGGCGACGCAGGTGAGATGGGTGGGTGTCTGTGAGAGACTGTTTGTCTATGTGTGCCTGTATGTGTGTGTCAGTCTCTCTGTTCTCTCTTGTTGTACATGTCTAAATGTCTGTCTGCCTATGTGTCTGTTTGACTGACTGACTGACTGACTAACTGCTCATCTGTCTGCTATTGTAGGACCAACCATACTGAGATGTTTTCTCTCGTTTAACTCCATATACTAATATCTAATATCAATCCTTGCAAGAGAACCAGTTGTTCCTGTAGCCATTTCCTTCTATTAAGCATTCAAATCATTTTATCTTCCTCTTCCTTCCAGGTGACATTTCCATTGACGAGGAGACTGAGGCCTCCAACCCATGGAGCTTCAACGCCATCCCAGGCCTCGCCAGCAAGCAGCGTCCAGGATTGGAGGCCCAGGGCTGGGCAGGCGAGGTCAGGGAGGGGGGCTCTGCTGCTGCTGTGTTCAGTCGTTTGGCCCGCTCGCCCATCTCAGAGGAAGTGCTCGAGGCGCTGCGCAGCGCGGACAGGAAGGGGCGGGACGTTGTGGTGGGCCTCTCCAACGCCTGCTGCAAGTGGGGCTGCAGCAAGAGTGAGATCAGCTCCCTCTGTTGAGCACTACTAATACCTTTCACTTTCATCCCCCCATCCCTTCATCCCTCTGCTGAGCTCTTCTACCTCTCCTCCTACATCACTACATCTCTCGTGCCTCTCCTCCATCCATTCTACGTTCATTCTTCTGGCCATCTCCATCTCTCACTAACTATCCCTTCATTCCTGCCTGTCTTCCTCCTCTGTCCCCAATGTCTTGCCTTCTCCCCTTCCTTCTATCCCTCCATCCCTCCACTTTTCTATAGCTCCATTCCTCCTGCTTCTTCTTCTTCTCCTGGATCATTTTGCCGATAATTCAGGGTCTCCTGAATGTGAGGGGTGTAAAAAAAAAAAGGTTACAAAGACAGACTTTGACTATGCATGTATTCTCCAATCTATGTCAATATTATGAGCCATTTTTGTGTGTTTGGTTACTGATATGAAAGTCCAATAAAGTTGTGTTTCGAAAGTGGTAATGTGTTACTCTTCATTGAAAATTCTCAATGACTCATACCTGGTGTATTCCAATATTTGAAAATATATATTCAAATATCGAAACATTTGACCACAAATGCTTTATTTCTCCACGACACTAGACCAGATCAGGGTTTCCCAAATTCGGTGCTGCCCCCCCTAGCTGCACGTTTTGGTTTTTGCCCTAGCACTACACAGCTGATTCAAATAAAAAACAAATCGTGCACACAGGGGGGCCCCAGGACCGAGTTTAGGAAACCCTGGACTAGATGACCGTTTATGTTGAATCCACCTGCTGTAACTTCCTCCTCCGCGTCTTTGGTGGTGGACTTTGACTGGCTTTCACGCACCTGTTCAATTTCTCTATCTCCGGCCCCACCTAGTGGTTTAATATATGATTACCCCCACAGACGATTCTATCCTGCTAGGCCCACATGGCATTAAAAAGTAGACGTTTATTCCATGCCATAAAATTTCATTTTACACTGTCTATTCACTCACTGGTAAATGTAAGTAGAAATTGGACTTTGATGAAAGAATATCTATTCTATTGACCTAACTGATTTTTGCAGTGTATTCACGTGTGATGTGAACAGATCCGCGATTGGCAAAACTAACCAAGCGTATGGAACGTTGTGCTACGTACGGAAGCCGATTAAGGACCTGCTGCTGGATTTTTGAATCTGACATGCCAGCTATTTCTCACACATAGCCAGAGCTACTTATCGCAACAGGAAAGGGGTTCGGGATTATCTTTGTGCTCTAAAAACAAATTGAAAGATCAAAACCCTTTGCTACTCAATACATCTGGATTGCATCAGCCATTCTGTAAATGGTCATTGCCACGGTACCGGTAGTTACTGCTAAAAAAGCGATTACGGATCTGACAAATCGGTGCGACCAGGTAAAGGCTTTCTTTGGCGGCACATTCAACATGAAGCTACTAGCTAGCTAACAAGCTAACTAGCCAAATAACCAACGTTAGCCATGGAAGATGTCATTGCGTTATCCTTATCGTTTGCACTTGGCTAGTTAAGTGTCTACACTCGTTCATGTGTTAGAATGTTTATCTAGTTAGCTAGCTAACAAGGTAATGTCACTTGCGGCGAAATGCGAGGCCGTATCGGCCTGCTTGCCCAAACCGGCCAGGTTCTCCATACTTGATTAGCTAGCGAAATGGCTAACTAGCGTAACTAGCATACATGCAATACTGAATGCGTACGGAGGCAAAACTAGATTAGGTAACGTTAGCTAGCTACGTATTGAGTTTATAATGGGGACTGATTGCCACTAACAAACTAGTTAACGTTAGATAGGTAGCTAAATTACTTTGTCAACGTCAGTTGATGTGTGATATGTTTTGATTCCAGGTTCGTTATGTAGCTAGTCCTGATGCTAGTGATCAGCTTGTATACTTTGCATTCTGACCCTTGCCTTGACTGACGCGTTCTATTCTTTACTTTGTGTTTCTGATGTGATGTTGGGCTAGAGAGCCAACTCTGCTTGTGATAGCGACACTAGTAGCAACAAAAGACTATGTAGCCGGTGGTGGATGTTCGGAAAATGTAGAGAATCATTCGAGTCACTCTTTCTCTGTCCCCCCTGTGTGTGTGTGTGTGCAGGATGGAGTGGCAGCCGGATGAACAGGGGTTGCAGCAGGTGCTTCAGCTGTTGAAGGACTCCCAGTCTCCGGACACAGCCACACAGAGAGCTGTGCAGGAAGTATCCTACCTAACACACAGCAGTGTGTGTGTGTCTGCGTTCGAGAGAGAGTGAGATTGTGTGAAAGATGCTAGAGTCATGAATGTGTGTTGGTGATTTGCCATGTTGATTGTTTTTGTCAGTGAAGGGGTGTTCCTTAAAAGTGTGTGTAGAAACTGGAACAGCTCAACCAGTTCCCAGACTTCAACAACTATCTCATCTTCGTCCTTACAAGCCTCAAATCAGAGGGTAAGTGTGTGTGTAATAAAAATGTGTGCGAGCATCAGTCAGTGGTTACGAATCGTTTCCTCTCTTCCTTTACCCCCGCCCCTCTCTCTAGATGAGCCGACCCGTTCTCTGAGTGGTCTCATATTGAAGAACAATGTGAAGGCCCACTACCAGAACTTTCCTCCTCTCGTAGCTGACTTCATCAAGAGGGAATGTCTCAACAACATCGGAGACCCCTCGCCCCTCATCAGAGCAACCATCGGTGAGAGAGAAAGAGAGTGTGTGTGTGTGCTGCAGAGTGATTCAGGATGTGTGGGTGATTGAGCCTTTGCAGGTACTGGAGTCAGTCTGCGTGGGAGTATGAGTTAATCAGCTAGCTGAAGTGTCTTAGTGTGTGTGTGTGTGTGTGTGTGTGTGTGTTCAAGTTTCAGTTTCAAGTTTTAATGTCACGTACAGTGAAATTACTTCTTGCAAGCTCTAAACCCAACAATGCAGTAATCAATGTAGTACTAAAAATAACATAAGGTAGAACAAAAACACACGAAAAATAAGAAATAATGTTGTGTATAAATGTGTGTGTATGTGCCTGTGTGTGTGTAACCTCTGCCTCCTGTCTCTCTAGGTATCTTAATAACAACCATAGCATCTAAAGGAGAGCTGCAGACATGGCCTGAACTCCTCCCTCAACTCTGTAACCTGCTCAACTCTGAAGACTACAACACCTGCGAGGTCACACACACACACACACTTAGACACAAACATGCTCATACACACACATCTAATCTTTTGATTGTGTATATAGGACTTATGTTTAATAACTTTCTGTGTGTGTACAGGGTTCTTTTGGAGCGCTGCAGAAGATCTGTGAGGATTCTTCAGAGCTGCTGGACAGTGATGCTCTCAACAGACCCCTGAACATCATGATCCCCAAGTTCCTACAGTTCTTTAAACACTGCAGCCCCAAGATCAGGTCTGCTCCTCGAGAGCGAGAGAAAGAAAGAGCGAAAGGGAAAAAGTCTCTACCCTGGTGCTCTTCTCTCTCTCTCTCTATCTCTGCTTCAGCCCTCGTCATCTCTCTCTCTCTCTCTCAGCCTCGCTCCATTTTCTATTCTCTCTATCTCTCTCTCTTCTCAGCCCTCGCTTTCCATTTTCTCTCTCTCCGCCTCGTCCTTCTCTTCTTCTCTCTCTCTCTCTCCTCCCCTCAGGCTCCATTCTCTCTCTCTCTCTCTCTCTCTCTCAGCCCTCGCTCCATTCTCTCTCTCTCTCTCTTCTCTCTCTCTCTCAGCCCTCGCTCATTTATCTCTCCCCTCTCTCGCTCTCCTCTAGAACTTCTCCGGCGCCCTCGCATCCATGCTCCCTAAACCCTTCTCTAACCTTCTCTCTCGCGATGCTCTAAGAAGCAGCTAGAAGGCGCTCCATGCTATCCTCTTCTATAACTCTCCTCTCCTCAGCCCGCTCATCTCCTCCCTCTCTCTCTCTCTCTCTCAGCCCTCGCTCCATGCTCCTTACTCCCTGACAAGTAGTTGATTTCTTCTATTGAATGCCACCAACTTTCTTTCCCCCCTCTCCAGGTCTCATGCCATAGCGTGTGTGAATCAGTTCATCATCAGTAGAGCCCAGGCTCTGATGGATAACATCGACACCTTCATCGAGGTGAGACAGGGGTCGTGACTCAAATGGCACCCTAGTCCCTATATAGTGCACTACTTTTGACAGTGGTCTGTCTGGGTTGAATCCAGCGGACAGACGTGATGTACAGTCACAGTTGCAAATGTTTATTATAAAGAACTCCCCCAACCCCTCTCTCTAGAGTCTGTTTGCTTTAGCGGGGGATGAGGACTGTGAGGTGAGGAAGAACGTGTGTAGAGCTCTGGTGATGCTGCTGGAGGTCCGGATAGACCGACTCATACCACACATGCACAGCATTATACAGGTAAGACCAACGAACTTTGACTCTACCCCTTAACCTCTAAACCTATGACCTCATACCACACATGCACAGCATTATACAGGTAAGACCAACGAACTTTGACCTCTACCCCTTAACCTCTAAACCTATGACTTCATACCACACATGAACAGCATCATACAGGTACCACCTATGAACTCTGACCTCTACCCTTTAACCTCTAAACCTATGACCTCATACCACACATGCACAGCATTATACAGGTAAGACCAATGAACTTTGACCTCTACCCCTTAACCTCTAAACCTATGACTTCATACCATACATGCACAGCATCGTACAGGTACCACCTACAACCCCTAACCCTTACCCCATGACCCTGTGCCTTTTTGACCTTTCACATACACACGTTCATCACTCATATACCATTTGTTTTGGGTAAACCACCTACACTCAATATGTTCTTCTCTCTTTCATCCTCGTATTCTTATGGCCCCTTACCTCTTTTCCATATTGCCTTCTGTTTCTATAAGAAAAATCACTTTCTCTCTCCTGCCCCCCCACCCCCCCAGTACATGCTCCAGCGTACCCAGGACCCAGACGAGAATGTTAGTTTGGAGGCCTGTGAGTTCTGGCTCACCCTGGCTGAACAGCCCGTCTGCAAGGAGGCCCTCTCCGGGCACCTGGTCCAGTAAGTACACAGACGCACGCATCCCTACGCACATGGACGCATACACATCACACACACACACACATTAAGGGATGGCTAGGTGGGTTTTTAGTAAGAGGGGTGTAGTTGGATGAAAAAGGAGTAGTGTGGTTTGGTTGTCAGTGTCTCTCCTGTTTTTCCCAGACTCATCCCTATCCTGGTGAATGGGATGAAGTACTCTGAGATAGACATCATCCTCCTAAAGGTGAGTTTACAGACGTCTGTCTGTCTGTCGGTCTGTCCATGTGAGAGGGATGTCTAGTTTATGTATATGTCAGTCTGGATGTACCACTCCCAATGACAACAGGAAAAAAAAAAAAAAGGGAAAAGAAGAGAGAAAAAGAAAAAACTCAGGAAAACAAAAAAACGGGGCACAGTAAAGACAAAACAGAAAGGACAAAGGTACAGAGAGCTAAAAAAGAAAAAAACAGGGAGATAAGACAAGGCAAGACACGACCAACTCCCCCAGACCTCACCCTCCCGCATAGAAAACCCAAACCCCCCTCCATGTTCCCCTACCTCCCCTCATCTCCCTCTCCCCCCTTCCCTCCCTCCTTTCTCTCTCCCCCTCCCCCCTTTCTCTCTCACAATCCCCCCTTTCTCCCTCCCCCTTCCCCAGGGAGATATAGAGGAGGAGGATGACACAGTACCTGACAGTGAGCAGGACATCAAGCCTCGCTTCCACAAGTCACGCACCGTCACCCTGCAACACGAGGGAGGAGAGGGGGAGGAGGGGGAGGATGACGAAGATGAGGATGACGATGATGACACACTCTCTGACTGGAACCTGCGTGAGTGGTTGAGGGATTGCGTGACAGCTCAGCTGACCAATCAGAGCCGGGGAAATCGGATTGGCAGCCAATCTTTAGTGGTTGTCCCTCCCAAGAGAAGACTTAGGGCTGTTTTTCAGTTCTCAGTTGATGTCACTGATTAGCCATGAAGATACGCAAAACACACACTTACTCGTTTATGTGGAAAATGGGGACTTCTCTCACACATGGTCTAAATCAGTTGCTGTTTAACTAGAGCTGTAGTACGTGTTTTAACCTCCCCACTCTCTCTCTGTCTCGCTCTCTCTCTCTGTCTCGCTCTGTCTCTGTTTCTCTCTGTGTTTCTCTCTCTCTCTCTCACAGGGAAGTGTTCTGCGGCAGCGTTAGACGTGTTGGCTAACGTGTTTCGTGAAGAGCTCCTCCCCCACCTGCTGCCCCTGCTGAAGGGCCTGTTGTTCCACCCAGACTGGGTCGTCAAGGAGTCTGGAATACTGGTGCTGGGGGCTATCGCTGAGGGTAAGACCTGACCTTGAACCGCTGACCTTTATTCTACTTCATGGAACTAAAAGCATTTCACTAGGAACACCTGTGTTCACTCTCTCTCTCTCTCTCTCTCTCCCCTCCTCTCTCTACCTCTCTACCCCCCCCCCTCCTCTCTCTACCTCTCTCTCCCCCCCCCCCTCCTCTCTCTCTCTACCTCTCCACCTCCCCTCTCTCCCCTAGGTTGTATGCAGGGCATGGTTCCCTACCTACCAGAGTTGATGCCTCACCTCATCCAGTGTCTGTGTGATAAAAAGGCCCTGGTGCGTTCCATCGCCTGCTGGACTCTGTCCCGCTACGCCCACTGGGTGGTCAGCCAACCCCCGGACTCCCACCTCAAACCCCTCATGACTGAACTCCTCAAGAGGATCCTGGACGGGAACAAGAGGGTACAGGAGGCCGCCTGCAGGTGTGTGTGGGGAGGGAGTGGATGGTGGGGGACTGGGGGTGAGTGGGGAGGGAGTGGGTGGTGGAGGACTGGGGGTGAGTGGGGAGGGAGTGGGTGGTGGAGGACTGGGGGTGTGTGGGAGGGAGTGGTTGGTGGAGGACTGGGGGTTGTGGGGGGAGGGAAGGGAGGGAGGGAGTGGTGGGTTGGGTGGTGGAGGACTGGGGGGAGGGAGGGGGTGGGGTGGGGAGGATGGGGGTGGGTGGGGGAGGAGGGGGGTGGGTGGGGTGGTGGAGGACTGGGGTGTGTGTGGGGGGGAGGGAGTGGGTGGTGGGAGGACTGGGGGTGTGGTGGGGGAGGGAGGGAGTGGGTGGGTGGGTGGTGGAGGACTGGGGGGAGGGAGTGGGTGGGTGGTGGAGGACTGGGGGTGTGTGGGGAGGGAGGCAGGGAGTGGGTGGGTGGTGGAGGACTGGGGGTGTGTGGGGAGGCAGTGGTTGGTGGAGGACTGGGGGTGTGTGGGGAGGGAGGGAGGGAGTGGGTGGTGGGTGGTGGAGGACTGGGGGTGTGTGGGGAGGCAGTGGTTGGTGAGTGGGTGTGTTTGAGAGAATAGAGATGTTGACCTGAAATTCAATTCCTCTTTCTCTCTCCCTCCACTCTCCCCCTTTTCCCCCTCCACTCTCCCCCTCCCTCCCTCCCTCCCTCCTCTCAGTGCGTTTGCTACCCTAGAGGAGGAGGCTTGTACAGAGCTGGTTCCATATCTGAGCTTCATTCTGGATACACTGGTCTTCGCCTTTGGAAAATACCAACACAAGAACCTACTCATACTCTATGACGCTATAGGAACGCTGGCCGACTCTGTAGGACATCATCTCAACCAACCGGTTAGTATGTAGTTAGGCTAGATAAACACCCCCTTCTAGTTTACCCTCAATGTCCCATTCTAGACAGTCATTTTCTGGCCATTTCCTGTTTTATTTTTGACATACCTGTTTTAACCATCTCTCTCCTCTCTTTTCCTCCCCCCATCCCATCTCTCCTCTATTCCCACATCGTCCCCTCAATCCCCTCCCCTCTGCTCTCCCCTCTCCTCCTCCCCCCTCTCTCCCCTCCCTCCCCCGCTCCCCCCTCCTCCCCCCTCTCCTCCCTCCTCCCTCTCCCCCCCCTCCTTTTCCCCTCCTCTCCTCCCTCCCCTCTCTCTCCTCTCCTCTAGGAGTACATAGAGAAGCTGATGCCGCCCCTCATAGCCAAGTGGAATGAGCTGAAAGATGAAGATAAGGATCTGTTCAGCTGTGAGGTCCTTCGTCAGTGAAGACAGCTCAGAGGTCGTTCCGCCTACTGTGAACCAGTGTCAACGCTGTGTAAAACTGTGCAGAAAACTGGCTCAGCTATGGTAACGTACAGCTGTACACTGCACAAAACAAACCTCAGCACACACACACATCAACATGAACAGCACACCACACTTTATCATCTGTGATTAAAGATTGAATGGTGTTTAATCTTAACTCTCTCTCTCATCCTCCTCCCCAGATGTATGATCTTAACTCTCTCTCTCTCCCCTCCCCTCTCCCCCAGATGTATGATCTTACTCTCTTCTCTCTCTCTCTCTCTCTCCCCCCCCCCCCCCCCCAGATGTATGATCTTAACTCTCTCTCTCTCCCCCTCTACTCTCTCTCCCCCCATCCCACGCCGACCAGAGAGTTGATCTTTAACTCTTTCTCCTCCTCCTCAGTGGTCTGGCTGCCTGCCCGCCATGTATGAACAGCGACATACGAGCTCCTGATAGGACTTTTATGATGTAGCATGGACCTCCTCAGTGGTCTGGCTGAGGGCCTGGGGGGCCACGTTGATCAGCTGGTTGCCCGGAGCAACATCATGACACTACTGTTTCAGTGCATGTCAAGGGACGGAGTTGTGGTGTAGGGGGTGGTGGGAGTGTGTGAGGAGGTGGGGGGGAGGTGGGAGTGTGGAGGTGGGGTGTGTTAGGTGGGGTGAGTGTGGTGTGGGTGGGAGGTGGGGGTGGTGGAGGGGGGGGTGGGAGTGTGTGTAGGTGGGGGGGGAGTGTGTGTAGGGGGGTGGGCTGTGTGTCAAGGGGGGACTGGGGTGTGTGTAGGGGGGGTGGGTGTGTTTTCAGTGATAACTGTACATATGTGTGAATGTCTAGGTTAGCTGTCCTGTGTACCGGGTAGGTCGAAGTGTTCCCATTTTGAACCATTTCATGTGTCTGAAGGTGCTAACTCTGCCTACTCTGCCCGGAGAGCAAATCAATTGCACCTAGTGCTAGCCAATCAGATTGCCCAGATCACTGTGTCTCATAAGAGTAACAACATGAATTTGTGCATGTGACAGAAATAATACGATGTGACTTGAGTTTCGCCATCAGCTTGAAGACGGTGTCCCCTTTTTGGTCAGTCTTAGTGGAGGGGTGAGCTGAGGGATGGTCCGACGCTGAGACTGACCAGATGCTGGCACAGTCAGTCCAGTAAAATAAATAACACATTATTTCAATGTATGGTCACTCAGCTGTGCCTCACAAGTAAAACAACAATCTATTACCAGTGGATCATATACCTCAAGTTTTGAAATAGAATTGTAAAATGGTCTGAGAAGAACATCATTGGCAGGGTAACTCAAGCATAGCCAATATGCAGTGATAATGTATGGGGCCTATAGCTTACTGCACAAACCTCACCGCTACAGAACTGGTTTTAATTGGTTAATGTTGCATAGGCTTACATTTTTTAAGTCATGTTTAAAATAAATCTGAGCGGTAGATCTCGGCCTTCATTTTGACTCAGAAAGTGATCTTGGCTCCAAAGTTTGGGTACCGCTGGTCCAGGTGTATATAAGTCTTTCCAATGTGGAGCTATGTATTGTGTGTATACTAACAGGACCCTGGCTGTATTTGATGGTTATGTACAATCGTGTGTGTGTGTGTGTGTTAACTATATTCTCTATCTCCAGGACACCATGCCAGAGGTGAGACAGAGCTCCTTTGCCCTGCTGGGTGATCTGACCAAGGCCTGCTTCCCTCACGTCAAACCATGCATCGGTAACGACATATACGATCTCTCTCTCTCTTTCCCTGTCTCTCTCTCTTCTTCCTTTTCTACTAACCATGTAACTACCAGCCTACCGTACTCCTCCTAATTCTATCTACCATCCTCCCTTACTCTTCCCCCTTGGCTTTCTCTTAATGTACACACAGAAAATAAAATCATTTTCCCTCTCTGTGTGTGTGTCTCTCTGTGTGTGTCTCTCTGTGTGTGTCTCCCCCCCAGCTGAGTTCATGCCTATCCTAGGGACCAACCTGAACCCAGAGTTCATCTCTGTGTGTAACAACGCTACCTGGGCCATCGGAGAGATATGCATGCAGATGGGTGAGTCTTTCTGTACGTGTGTGTGCTTGTAAGTGTACGTGGGTAATATGTACATGTGGAAGATGATTTACCTCTCATTCTTGTTAATAATGTTTTTTTTGTTTTGAATTTGTTAATTAAAAAACGAAGTAATTGACAGTTTCGATGCTGATAACTTTCATGCGATCTTAATAATATCTTTCTCTCCCTCCACCTCTCTCTCCCTCCACCTCTTCCTCACTCTCTCCTCCACCTTTCACCCTCATCTCCCCTACCTCTCTTACCTCACCTATCACCCACCCTCTCCTCACCTCTCTCTAGCTAGAACACCCAGATCTGGTCGAACCAACTGGTAGAAATCATCAACAGACCTAACACACCCAAGACCCTGCTGGAGAACACTGGTACAGACACACACACAAGATAGTGAACACACACAATCATTGGGCTTGTTCGACATTGCAGCCGATGCATTTTGGGTAAACTGTGACTGACTCCTCTACAGATAATAACGAGAAGTTATTTATGATGCAAAGTGATTTGTACATCAGCGATGTCAAACAAGCTCAGATTTGTAGTTGGGTGTTGTTGTACACACGAGTGAGACTCCTCCCATCTTGTTCCAGCCATTACGATTGGTCGCCTGGGCTATGTGTGTCCTCAGGAGGTGGCGCCGATGCTCCAGCAGTTCATCAGACCATGGTGAGTCTTTAAGCAATAAGGCCCGAGGAGGTTGGGTATATGTACCGCGGCTAAGGGCTTTTCTTAGGCACGACGCAACGTGGAGTGCCTGGATACAGCCCTTAGCCGTGGTATATTGGCCCTATACCACAACCCCCCCCCCCCCCGAGGTGCCTTATTGCTATTATAAACTGTTTACCAACGTAATTAGAGCAGTAAAAATAAATGTTTTGTCATACCTGTGGTATATGGTCTGATATACAGCGGCTGTCAGCCAATCAGCATTCAGGGTTCGAACCCAAACAGTTTATAATATACATCTAGTCCTTCATGTCACTGCCACTTATCAACATAATGTTTAGATTGACTGGTATGTGGCGCGGTGGTGTGTGACAGGTGTACGTCCCTACGGAACATCCGTGACAACGAGGAGAAAGACTCCGCCTTCAGAGGGATCTGCATGATGATTGGTGTAAACCCTGGAGGCGTGGTCCAGGTAAGCGCGAGGGCATGGAGAGACCCGCGGGTCCCGACAGATCGTGGCGGAGTGGTCTGTGTTTTTTCATGCTGCAGGTCAGACAGACGACTTTAGGATGAAAATATTTTTGGCCCACAGATTTTTTGCTTCCACTTCAGTAGCCTACCCCTGCTCTCCTAGTTGGGCGTGTGGTCTCGTTGAAAAGAGAAGGGTCACGTGGGGGTTCACTTAAATATAAAATTAGACCTTTAGTAGTTTATTACAGTGGCTGTAAATACATAAATATTCATATTGGAAAGAAGTGGAGGGCGCTCAACCAACCTGAGTCGAGGTGCTGTCAACATTTCTTCTCATTGAAAAGGAAAAGGCACAACGTGCACGTAGATAGGTTAGGTTACTATGGTGAGCGTAGGCTAGGTTACTATGGTGAGCGTAGGCTAGGTTACTATGGTGAGCGTAGGCTAGGTTACTATGGTGAGCGTAGGCTAGGTTACTATGGTGAGCGTAGGCTAGGTTACTATGGTGAGCGTAGGCTAGGTTACTATGGTGAGCGTAGGCTAGGTTACTATGGTGAGCGTAGGCTAGGTTACTATGGTGAGCGTTAGGCTAGGTTACTATGGTGAGCGTAGGTTAGGTTACTATGGTGAGCGTAGGCTAGGTTACTATGGTGAGCGTAGGCTAGGTTCTATGGTGAGCGTAGGCTGTCTATGGTGAGGTAGGTAGCTATGGTGAGCGTAGGCTAGGTTGCTATGGTGAGCGTAGGCTAGGTTGCTATGGTGAGCGTAGGCTAGGCTGCTATGGTGAGCGTAGGCTAGGCTGCTATGGTGAGCGTAGGCTAGGCTGCTATGGTGAGCGTAGGCTGCTATGGTGAGCGTAGGCTAGGCTGCTATGGTGAGCGTAGGCTAGGCTGCTATGGTGAGCGTAGGCTAGGCTGCTATGGTGAGCGTAGGCTAGGCTGCTATGGTGAGCGTAGGCTAGGCTGCTATGGTGAGCGTAGGCTAGGCTGCTATGGTGAGCGTAGGCTAGGCTGCTATGGTGAGCTAGCGTTGCGCCTTTTCATTTTCAATAAGTACTGCTTACCCATTTATGTGTGTCTGCCTGCAAATCGTCTTCTTAAAGGGGAATGCACATGTTTAGTATTAGTGGATTGAATACATCTCTTTGCTTAGATGTACTTCCTAAAGTGTTTCCATTCCCCTTTAAAAGGTAGGCTATATCCTATAGGCCTATGCAAAACATAGCAAGTGTCTCGGTCATGGTTCTAGCTGCTTCCAGGTCAGTAGCTGACCTGTGCGATCAGGTGTGCGTGTGGTCTCAATTAAATAGATTAGGCTATAGCCTATTCATGGGCGGAGAAGCACGGGCAGTTATCTTTCCAAGGAAATGTACAGTACTTCCTAAATATGATTACGCTATAGTTATATATAAATATTGATCACCCATATGTCTCCGTCTGAAAATCTTCCCACTCCTAAAAGGTAGGCTATAAAACATAGCTCAAGAGAAAGTGCACGTCTCTCCAACCCTGCTCTCTTCAAACTCCATCTCCTATTGGCTGATCTAGTCCAGTAATACAGATAGCCTAATATAATGGGCCAAGTGACAATCTCTGGTCATTTAACTTATTTCTTACGTTATTTTTGCGCGTTTTGATATTGCCTCTAGGGCGCAAAATTGCTGCGACCGTGGCTGGCAAGTGAGCTGCGCCACACACCTAAAATAACATTGCAGGACTGCGGTTGTGTTTGGAACCAGTTGTTTGCGGTAGCGGGTGGGAATCCGACAAAGCCAGCAGCAGGTGGTGTGGTATGAAAAGCTGTAGGCGGGGAGCGGGATGAGGAAACCAGTCCTACGCAGACCTCTACATGGAGACACACAGTCCTACTGTATGGGGAAATGACATCACAGCATTTGTCTGTGTGTGTGTCTCTCTGCAGGACTTTATCTTCTTCTGTGATGCTGTGGCGTCCTGGGTCAGCCCTAAAGACGACCTGAGAGACATGTTCTACAAGGTGAGTGGATGACCCAGCTCTTTGTGTCCCAAATGGCAGCCTGTTCCCTTTATCGGCACTACTATAGTGTACTATGTAAGGAACAGGGTGCATCCTGGGAAAACCGTTGCTTGGCCCAGATCGTTACTAATATCTCAATGTGTATGTACTGTATGATAGTGTAATGTTAACCATAGTCTCAGAATCATTTCAGCCATATTGTTTCTATTTTGTCATTTCTTTGTTGAGGACGAGTATTTTCTCCTCCTGTCTGCCTCTCTCCGTGTCTTCCCCTCTTTCTCTCTCGCTCCCCCTCTCTCTCCTCTCTTCCCCCTTTCTCTCTCTCTTCCTCCACCACTCTCCTCTCTCTCCCCCCTCTCTCTCCTCTCTTCCTCCACCACTCTCCTCTCTTCCTCCACCACTCTCCTCTCTCTCCTTCGCTCCCTATCTCTTCTTCTCTCTCCTCCCCCCTCCAGATCCTCCATGGTTTTAAAGACCAGGTGGGAGAGGAAAACTGGCAGCAGTTCTCAGAACAGTTTCCCCCCCAGCTGAAGGAGAGACTGTCCGCCTGCTACGGCGTGTAGGACCCCTAACCTAACGTCAGGTACACACACACACACACACTCGCTTTAGAAATGACCATTCCAGTCTTATTTCTGCCACACTTCTTTAGATTGCACTCCTTGGTTGTGATCCTCATCCGTAAATGTTCTTCCATCCCCCTCTCTCTCATCCTCTTCCCTCCTTCTCTCCCTCTCCAGGTGAGCCAGTAGTAGAGGAGGAAGAGGAGGAGGAGGGAGGAGGAAGGTGAAAGGGAAACTCATCCATCTGTGTTAATGCACTGCCCTGAACTGATCTGGGGGAGGGGGGAGAGGGACCCATCACGCCATTGGCCGCTCCCCCTGACGGACGGCCCCCACGCCCTATGTGTTTCTCCATAGCGGGAGGGTGGGCGGGACTTGGGGAGGGACAGGGGGACACCTCTAGATTAAAGATTAAGGGGACCCAACCAACACAGAGAAACCAACTAAGGTAGGGACAGACAGATAGAGGGATAGAGAAATGGAGAGAGGGAAAGAGAGGGGTAGGTATAGAGGCCAGCTAGACTGCAGTAGAGGGAAAGGGAGACAGACTGTTAACAGATTTTAATCAGACTGTAGAAAGAATACACAGAGCGACCTAGACAGAGCGACCTAGACAGAGTAAGAGACACACACTTGCAATACCTATAGCTTCGTGTAGATGGCGCTGTTAGTTACACTAATCAGACATACTCAGTCACTACCAGTAAGGGATAGACAGTTAGGGACAGACAGGATTGCAGACAGACCGGTAGGTGTCTAGCCTTTGTTTATTTCTGGGAGATATCTTTCTTTTTTCCGGGGAAAAGGATATTCTATATGAATTAATAGTCATCCTTTAATTACTAGATCACTGGTTCGCAGTCAGATGATCTATCCTCCACCATGCATGTTTTCTTTCTTTAGTTTTACCTAAGGAATGCTTTCTTCATATAACTATTATCAGAGATAATATTCAGTCATGCTCTCTTCTAGATAGACAGGGGATAACTAACTTCCTCTTGGTTCATACAAGTCGTCATTATAGGAGGGAGCGAAATAGGGCTTAAATAATGTGTTATTCTTCCGTAAGGTTAGGAAACTACAGATTACAGCCTCAAGATCACATTTTTAGTTGTACCTGTGTGTGCATCTGTCTGTCTGAGTTTGTTTACCGTGTATGACATTGTTGATTGTTTTAATAAGGTAACGATTTAACACTTGACTCCTCCCACCCCAATGTCCTCTACCTGTAAACTGTGACCAACTGTGTGTGTGTATGTGGGTTGCCATAGTGATATCTTGAGTAAAATGATTAAGCCCATAATAGTTTATCCTGATAACGTATTACAAGAGGTCCATCTTTTGTTGCTTGTTGTTGTTTCTTTTTTTATTTGCTGCTACTAATATTTTTTTTGTTTCCATAGTGAGCTTAAATGAACACAAACAAAGCATTGTTTATTTTTAGTTTTGTGGTTTTGCACTTTTTATTTTTGTATTAAGGACTTTTTAAAATTCACTCATAAAGCACATCTGAATTCTAACGTCCATGTTCTATTGTGTTTCAGTGTTAAATAAGTGTCTCTTACTTACTGGCAAAACAAACGTAAGAATACTAAAATGGCAAATAAAAAGTTTGTGAAACTGCGAGTAATCCGCACTTTTACAATGACTAACTGTGTCTACGTGTGTGTGTGTGTGTGTGTGTGTGTGTGTGTGTGTGTGTGTGTGTGTGTGTGTGCTACGTGTGTTAACTGTATGTGAGAGAGAATAGTGTGTTATCCTTTACTTTTCTTCACTTTGCTCCAAGAGAAGAGCACAATATCCCTATAACAGGATAGGAGAGCTAGGACTCTGCCAAAGATACACATACAGACAGATGGCAAAACAGTATCCTATAACAGGATAGGAGAGCTAGGACTCTGCCAAAGATACACATACAGACAGATGGCAAAACAGATCCCTATAACAGGATAGGAGAGCTAGGACTCTGCCAAAGATACACATACAGACAGATGGCAAAACAGATCCCTATAACAGGATAGGAGAGCTAGGACTCTGCCAAATATACACATACAGACAGATGGCAAAACAGATGCCAGGATAGGACTAGTCCTGGCCATATTATAATTCCATAGACGCCACTGGTCAAAAGATGTATTTTAACGGAAGGGACTAGATTGCCATTATGGACGCAGGCACAGACACTGTATCATAGTTGGATAGAGGGTGCACTTGAACAGAAACCATTCTGGAAAAGATGTGCCCTCTAGCCAACTCTATGTACAGTATAGACCGTTGTGAGGTTGTCAGCAGTTTGAGGCCGGGATTCAATCTGATCTCCCCTTTTATGGTCAATGTTCCCACATTCGCGGAGACCGCATTCACGGTAAACGCTGCATATGTCAGCTCAATCGGAAATGACCTTTAAATGTCATAAGGCGGATCTAATGAGGATCTGAATGAATCCCAGCCGTAGTGTCATCAAAGGGGATGTTCAGTATTTTGACCTTTTAAAGTTAGCTGAAGTTTTTAGTGGCTTTTTAAAGAAAATCTAACCAGGGATTTCAGTTTCTCCTGGCCCATTGAATACTTTCAGGGTGAGGAACAATCTAACATTAAGTTGTACAATTCTGAACTTCCCCTTTAATATCAATATTATTTCAGCTTTAGTGAATTTGGACACATTTTGCACAGATTGATGTATAGATGACTAATTGACTGACCAGGACTGTGATCATAGAAGCGATAAATAAACAAATCAATGTATCATTCAACAAAGACAATCTACATATCCCCCATTCTGCTTTCTCTATTTCAATGATTTTATCAGTTTAGATTTATCAAGATTTTTCGAGATTGTTATTAATTTAAATATGTTTTTTGTGAGGTTTCAATGTTCTGTAGTAGATCGTTTGAACTCGTTATGATATTGTGATGACTTAATTGGTTAAATAATAAATGCATTCAAGTGTCTTTAGTAAATGAGGGCTCTAATTTAAGAATAAAAGATTTAGGGCTTATAGAGGGTGGGAGGGAAGAAAGAGGGGGAGGGAGGAAAGAGGTGGGGAGGAAGGGAGGAATGAATGGCTGTAGGAACAAGCATGATCTTACTTGTTCAAGTTTTGCAGAATGACTTTGATATGCTCCCAGTATTTCTATGGACTGCTGCCTATGTCAATCACTACAAACACTCAACTTATTTCTTTGTGGAAATAAATACAAAAAAAGTGTATTCTTCTTCCAATATTTCCAACTGTCGCCTCCTTGTTATGTTTATGTCATAACCTTTGAACTGTGGCTGCATAAAAACCAGTGGTGCGTCCCAAATGGCACCCTATTCCCTATTTAGTGCACTATTTTTATTAGGGTTCATAGGGCACTGGTCAAAAGTAGCGCACTATATAGGGAATAGGGTGCCATTTGGGACGCAATCCTGTGTATTTTTCCACTCCGCAGGGTGGATGTGAGTGATGACAGATCTGTCTGTTGTGTGTCAGTGTTTTACAGGAAAGGAAAGTAAAAATGAGTGTCAGAGACAGAGAAAGACATTTGTCGTGTTCCAGACCTTGTTCATTTGGTAATGATGTCATATCCTGTCTGGGAACACACTGACAGCAGTTTCCTGTCCACAGAGAACTATTACACACCCATGTGTGTGTACGTTAGAGAGAGAGAGAGAGAGAGAGAGAGAGAGAAAGAAAGAGAGAAAGAAAGAGAGAAAGTGAGGGGAGAGAGAGAGAGAGAGAAAAAAGACAGAGAGAGAGAGAGAGAGAGAGACTGTAGCTCAGTTGGTAGAGCATGGCGCTTGCAACGGCAGGGTAGTGGGTTCGATTCCTGGGACCACCCATACATAAAATGTATGCATGCATGACTGTAAGTCATGGATAAAAGCGTCTGCTAAATGGCATATATTATTATAGAGGTACAGTAAGCCACTGTATCAGGTGTTGCCAGGTTCAGGTAGGCTAATATGAGGTTGCCAGGTTTCATGTATTCTCTCCCTCCTCCCCCCAGCCATTGGAAATCCCTGACAGACTGTGTGATACAGTATCAGGTTTCCAGGTCTGGGTAGCTGAATGGGTGTGAATGAATGAGTTGCCAGATATGCCTACTATATCAGGTTGCCAGGTTCTGTGTAGAGTTTTCCCCCCAGCCATTGGAAATCCCTGGCAATGTGATTGAGTTCAGAATGTCCCAGAATCACTCCACCAGGAACCCCCCTGGCTACAGGTAACAGTCTCACTGTGTGTGTGTGTGTGTGTGTGTGTGTGTTTGGCTCATTGTAATGGCTGGAATGGAGTAAATGGAATGCTATACAACACATCAAACATATGGAAACCACATGTTTCACCCGGTTCTGTTAATTCCATTCCAGCCATTACAATGAGCCCGTCCTCCTATAGCTCTTCCTAACAGCCTCCACTGGTGTCTGTGTGTGTGAGTGTCAATCGCCTCACCACAGACTATCGCGGCAGCACCAGGCGAGCCGCAGTAACCCTATCCTTTATGCACAGCCTGGATGTGCCAAATATTCCCTTTCTCTCTCCCTCTCTCCCCTCCCTTCTTCCACTCCTTCTACTAAATGTACTCCTCCTGCAGATGAAGAATGTTACGACCTGTTCTTCACAATACGAAGCAATTCCGAGGCCACTATAACCTGTGCGCTGTGCGTCATGGTCCATTCACCGGTAATGGCACGTAATTCGCTTGGCATTCCAGCACTGAGAAGACGGGGCTAAAGTTAGTGGGAAGTAAATTGCTACTACATTGAACAATACCCGTCACATCCCAATATTCAACTACATTTAAGGTGTGGCATTTAGACCTAGTAATGTTAAAGGCTACCACATCTCTGGATATAGGCCACTTACCGCCGTGAAGTGTTTTGTAAATGGAATAAAATCCGGAACACCGTATTTTCAATTTTAAGTTGTTATATTTCACCTTGTTTTACTCCGTTCTTCTCACGCTCTTTGGTGGCTCTGAGAAATGTTTTGTGGAAACCCGTCCATTACTGCACG